AGTGAGTACATAAAGGAGGGGCAGGCAGGTAGCATAGTAGGGAATGGTGGAAGCACATCAGCCCTGTGGGTGCACTACGTGCCACGACTGCCAAGGAGAAGCAGCTGAAAGGGGGGGGAGGGGTGGGGGGGGGGGGGGGGGGGGGGGGGAAGGAGTGGGATTCACTGTAATAGGAGTGTGGTAAGCTGTGTATGCGTGATGCACTGACACATGCACATCATGGTCAGCCGTGAGTGTGTGCTACTACACACTGACTGCTAGTGAGAAGCAGTTGGAGGGGGGGTGAGAGTGAGAGAGTGTTTGAGAGCATGTATGCCAAAGTCAGAGATAGAGTGAAGAAGTGTGTAAATATGAAGGAGGGCCCGTTGTGTGACCGTGGATACCATGTCTCAATGGCGACTGAGCGAGGATGTGTGTGTAGGAGTACAGGGAGATCTGTGTGCCTCTGCCTCTCGCTGCGAGCTGCTGATAGGTGATGGGGTTAAGGAGAAGCACAGGCGTTTCTAGCCAGGGTTGTTTCGGTTCCAATGCACCATTGAACATGAGCATTTCTTGTTAGGTGCAGTGCAGCTGTTACGTTCCATTCAGCATGTTCCTGCATGTACTTCCTTATCCATATTGCAGCATGAAGAGAGGGAGGGCTACAGCACTAAATGTACCCAAAACTGCACCACCATTTCAGTTGTTGAATTGTGGTAAGTTGCTTAAAGCCGCAATGCAACTTCGTAGGAACAGTAGCAGGACAGAAACTGCTTGTGCGTACTTGGACTTCTATTGGTCGAAAAAACTAGAGTATCGCAACAAGACAAACCTCTCGCCTGTGAACTGCCTGGGTCATCCTCTTCCAAGCTAAAATACTTTGAAGTTGAACTTGATAGTTGCACCGCGGCTTTAAATAGTGCATGCATACAGTAATGGTTAGCTAGTCAATACCATATCAGGTGCTACAAATGATTGAGGTGGAACTCAATTGTGCTAGCACTAAAAGTTCATACATCACCCTTCCCTGCTACCACCTTAGGACCTCCTGCCAGTTGCTCTGAAGCCGTCTCAACCTCCTTCTGCCTCTGCTGCCTCTGCTTTATTCTTGTCTCTGCTGCCCACTCAAACACTGACTGCCTTGAATTGAAGCTTTCTCCTGCTCTTGTTGTTCTGGACACTCCTGCGCTTCCTCCTGCGTTTGACGTTCCCCGAATTGGCATTGCTGCTGATTCAGACACTCGTCGTTCCAGAAACCGAGGCTGCTCGGACAGCTTCGGTAGTGGTGCCGAGCCTCCCGCCGAGGTCAGGGTCTTGCTCTCTGCGGATTTCAAGAATTCAAAACGATCCAATTGGCTCTGACCACCACGGTGGATGGAGGATGTTGCTGAATGGACGACACCAACATCACAATACACGGACGTCCAATCTGCTGATCCTGTAACGGGGCTGACTAAAACGGGACCACTTCCAAAGATTCCGCTGCTGATGTCGCAACTTCGGGAGTTCTTCCGGGTGTTTCGTCGCCGAATTGCATCCACGTCAGCAGAAACTCCACCGGGAGCTCCAATCACACCGTGACACGCAGCGGAAGCGGTTGTTGCGGAGAGCGAGGCGCTCCGCAAGCGGCCATGGGGACACTGTGGCGGCGGCGTCGCGGACGAAGCGGGACCACCGTGGTAATTCGCCGTTGATGGACGAATTGTTGCTTTAAAAGCTTCCAGCGGACGATCGGCTGCTTCGATGTTGTCGCTTCCGTGTCGCCCGGAGTCGCCGGAATTCTGGCGCACGCAGTTGCGGTTGAGCCTGTTACCGTGGAAGTCGCCGTTTGATGAACGAATTTCGCTGGAAAGCATCACTCCGTTCGACGATCGCTCCAATGGCTCGTTAGGATGGAAGACGCAGCAATTGTCGCAAGATAGGTTGAAAAAGGGGGTGGATTTGAGCGAATCGGCGTGAATTGTTGGCGCGGACATTTCGGCACTGGCTACGTCGAAAAACAAAATTTCCCTTTGGTGCTCGACGGTGTGAGATCTAAAGGCGATGACTAACGAATTGTGTTTGAGACGCTGGCTAATGGAAGCAGCCGTCGATCAACCCAATTGAAATGAAGCTTGACAAGAGGAGAGGTGGAGCAATACAAGCGGGATTGAGGGGGCAGTGATGAGGGCCTATCTGGAAGCTTCTAAAAACGGTGAGATTGTTGGTGCAAGTTTCCGGTTGGACATTACGTGAGGCTGAGACATACATTGTCACTTTCCGGTGAGGTCGTACAGTACGTACGATATTCGTTCTTTAAAGGTAACGCAGTGCGTAGTAGAGCGAGTTTGCGCCCTACCACCACAACTTCCAAAACACACCGCTGGCAATACTTGAGGGTTGATGGGGAAGAAACAGACTGGAGCGGTGGGGCTGGGGCAGAGGGAGCCGAGGGCATTTTACAGCTGTGCATCAAATTTTGAGCACGCGGCTCCACCCACCAATCCCCGAGGTTTCCAATTCGTGGCTGGCGAATACCTACCGAATACTGCCAGCTGGAAAACATAAAGGCGACGCGTTTTCAAGCCACGGGTGCGGACCATTTATGGCGACCACATATGTTCTAAAGAGCTGCTGCAACCACACGAAACAGTCCAAACAAAACACATATTATAAATCATTTAACCGCTATATGGCCAGAAACCTCGAATCACACTCGGGTAGAGTCGGTACAATTAGGCTTAAAAAAACATATAGTTTCGGGTAAGTAATCAGCTCCCGATGAAGTTACTGTTTCACACACGTTTCAATCACAGTGTTTGCCAGAATTGAAAGAATGGATTTTGTCAAAAAGGGTCCGCGGGAAGGTGCTCTACAGTTTGAAGAATGCGTTGCGCTCCGTCTTCAAGAAACCAACGACCTGCTGCCGTGTTCGTGCAACAGTGCAGATACAAACCCGCTAAATGCCAGATGTTTGCCCTTTTCCAGAGAATACGCGATCATATCGACCTTTCCTCCTTCCTGATTCGCTGAAATGTTCACCCTTGGCATCAGCAAATATGGACGTTTCAAACACTGTATCCGTCTCGTGTTACTGTACCTGCACGAGAGGGGGAACACGTGGAATGCCAGCAATGAAGTTTGCGACTGTCTCTAGAAATCAAAATTGTTTATGTAATTAGTATAATATTCATAAAGCGTGGTCATGCCTCTTAACAAACCGGCCTTTAAGGAGGATATCAGTTCGGGAAACCTAGATTGCATTCTGAGCACGATGCTAGAAACCCAAATGCAAGTGAATGCGGAAAACCTAGTCTTGTTTACACTGCGTGTATGGCGGGAGTGCTGTTTTGTGCGCATCGCCCGCCGATATCGCTGGCGTTCATTCCATTTTCGAAGAGTATTCCGCGCAGTGGTCAGGGAGCGGCGGAGGCGAGACTCTCAGTTGCTCCTGGTTCGCTCAACAGTCGCAGCTTGTCGTTTCAGCAGAATAGAACCTCGGGAATCCCGAATTTGGTAGCTCCACGCGCGAGCAGACCTCTTCGCGAAGGATCAGCGACAGAATCAGACGATTTCGCTTCGGAAACCGAGCTTCGCCGCAGTGCGGACGTCCTCGCTGGTAGCAGCATGGCCGACGCGGACGGTGCGAATGCTCCGATACAAACAGACTCGATATTAGATCTAGGAAATGCAACAACCTTGAGTGCTAGAACCGAACAGGGGAACGCTGCGTCAGGGGAAATGGAACCAGTGACCCGCTTTGATCCGTCGTCCAATGAGGTGCTGGCACGTGGAAGGTTTCGCGGAGTGGTTGTAGCTGGGACGTTCGATCGCTTCCACGACGGGCATCGCACGCTGCTGCGCGCGGCTGTATCGATGGTGGCGGCGACACGGTAAGGTGGGGAGGGAGAGACCGGCAGCAGCAGCAGCAGCAGCAGCGGCGGCGGCGGCGGCAGCAGCGGAAACGACAATTTCGCGAGCAGCGATGGCAGCAGCAGATGCATTGTTGTAGGGATCGCCGATGGACCTCTTCTGAGCAAGAAGTATCTCAGTGAGGTGCGGTGAAGCATTGCAGTGTGAGGTGCGGTGAAGCATGTCAGTGAGGTGTGAGGTGCGGTGAAGCATGGCAGTGAGGTGTGAGGTGCGGTGAAGCATGGCAGTGAGGTGTGAGGTGCGGAAACGACAATTTCGCGAGCAGCGATGGCAGCAGCAGCAGCAGCAGATGCATTGCTGTAGGGATCGCCGATGGACCTCTTCTGAGCAAGAAGTATCTCAGTGAGGTGCGGTGAAGCATTGCAGTGAGGTGTGAAGTGCGGTGAAGCATGTCAGTGAGGTGTGAGGTGCGGTGAAGCATGTCAGTGAGGTGTGAGGTGCAGTGAATCACCCCCCCTCTCGTTTCCCAATTTCCTTCCATCTTCCCTCTCCCTCCACTTTCACATCTCCCCTTCTCCTCATCCCCATCCCCTCATCCCCATTATCCTCATCCCGATTCCCGGAATCCCCAATCCCCGAATCCCCACTCCCCGAATCCCCACTCCCCGAATCCCCCTTCCCCGAATCCCCGTTCCCCGAATCGAATCCCCGTTCCCCGAATCGAATCCTTGTTCCCCGAATCGAATCCCCGTTCCCCGAATCGAATCCCCGTTCCCCGAATCGAATCCCCGTTCCCCGAATCGAATCCCCGTTCCCCGAATCGAATCCCCGTTCCCCGAATCGAATCCTTGTTCCCCGAATCGAATCCCCGTTCCCCGAATCGAATCCCCGTTCCCCGAATCGAATCCCCGTTCCCCGAATCGAATCCCCGTTCCCCGAATCGAATCCCCGTTCCCCGAATCGAATCCCCGTCCCCCGAATCGAATCCCCGTCCCCCGAATCGAATCCCCGTTCCCCGAATCGAATCCCCGTTCCCCGAATCGAATCCCCGTTCCCCGAATCGAATCCCCGTTCCCCGAATCGAATCCCCGTTCCCCGAATCGAATCCCCGTTCCCCGAATCGAATCCCCGTTCCCCGAATCGAATCCCCGTTCCCCGAATCCCCTCAGATGATCCATCCCTACAACGAGCGCAAGGAAGCTGCTGAGAAGTTTCTGCAGGAGGAGCTGCAGCGACAGGGCAAGGCCCCAGGCTTGGTTCAGCTTGATTTTGCGCCGATCCAAGATCCCGTACCTGAGCGGGGAGGTTCGGATCCGAGCCTGGACTGCATTGTGGTTAGCGAGGAGACAGTGGGAGGCGCCGCGGCTATCAACAGGATGAGAGCGACCAATCAGATTGCTCCGTTACACGTAAGTGCGGCTTCATTTCTGCTCCTAGTTTTCCCAGCCCAGTGATCGGGATTTCTGTTTTTTGGTGCGCCTCAAATTCAACCCCCCCTTGTGCACTCCCATGTGCATCCATCAGGTAGTGGTGCCGTCAACAGTACCAGCCCCTGTTGTCGAGGTACCTTAAAAACACCGACCCTCCTTTGTGCGTGCACACGCCCGCGCCCACACACCAGGTAGTGGTGGCATCAACAGTACCAGCGCCATCAACCGCTGCTCTTCCACTCGCTCCCGCCACCAACTCTCCGGCGGCTGACGTCAGCAAGCTAAGCTCCTCCCTGCTCAGGGAGCAATGTCTCGGAACCTTCCTGCCTCTACCAAGGCAAGCCCTCCACACGTTTCACCGATGTTTTCTCGTCTCTCACCTTTCAGGGTTTCCCAAAGTCCACCCAGACGCTGTTGCTTGCTTGCTGGTTCACTTGCGTGCTTGCTTTCCTTCCCCCGTCCTGGCATGTGACTGCCTTTGATCTTTCTCAACACACTCTTCTCTTCTATCCGTCCCCTCCCTCATTCCCATTCCCCTATTCCCTCCCCCCCTGCTCCCTTTTTTTCCTCGCACCGTCTCACCACACCAGCAAGCAGAAGAGGCAGCAGCGGCAGCGGCGGCAGCACAAGGGGCGGCTGCAGGCAGGGCCGTACCTAGTGGGGCTGACAGGAGGCATCGCCTCTGGCAAGTCCACCGTCGCTCGCTTGCTCTGCGCCCTCGCCTCCTCCTCCTCCTCCCCTGCTCCCGCTCCTGCTCCTGCTGCTCCGGATGTTGCTGCTTCTCCCAAGGCTGGTGGGGATTCAGTGAGAGAGGAGAAGCAGTCAGAGGAGGGAGGGCCAGGGCTGGGGCGGCAGTCAGAGGAGGGGGGCGCAGGGCAGGGGCGGCAGTGGAGGGTGGGGGCGGTGGACTGTGACCGGCTGGCCCATCGGGCATATGAGCCAGGCACGCCTGCCTACCGCCGTATTGTGGACCTCTTCCGGCCCTCTGTGGTGCGACCTGCAGGTGGGTCGTGCGTTCAAGTCAGGGGAGGGTGTGGGCAGCAGGTGGGTGTGTGGGGACAGCGCAGAATGGCAGTGGAGGGTGGGGGCGGTGGACTGTGACCGGCTGGCCCATCGGGCATATGAGCCGGGCACGCCTGCCTACCGCCGCATTGTGGAGATTTTCGGGCCCTCTGTGGTGCGCCCTGCAGGTGGGGTGTGTGGCCAGCAGGTCGGTGGTGTGGGCAGGATGTGGGATGTGCAGCCATTTCTTGCTCAACTCATTCCTTGCTCGACAGATGACTCATTGCTTCCCCTCTCATTTCTTCTTAAACCCACCAATGCTTCATCCTCCTCTTCTCTCTGATGCATCGTCCAGATGGGCAGATCGACCGGGCAGCACTGGGAGCACAGGTTTTTTCCTGCCCGGAGAAAATGGCTGCCCTGACAGGGGTGGTGTGGCCAATGGTGCGACAGATAGTGGAGGAGGAGAGGGAGGCTGCAGGGGCCGGCGAATGGGAAGTGATTTTCGCATCGACTGAAATACCGTCTGCTTCTGCTGAGTCGAATGAAAAAGCGTCCACTCTTTTGGAGTCGACTGAAAAGGCATCTGCTTTTGAAACGTTTAAAAACGAGTACACTATTCGCCCCATAGCCCCCCCTGCGGATGTTCTTATAGTGGAGGCTGCCATGATGGTCGAAGCAGGCTCGGACCGAACCGTGGACGAGGTCTGGGTGGTGTTTGTCCCCGAGGCTGAGGCGAAGGCTCGGTTGATGGCGCGGAATGGGGTGACTGAAGAGGAGGCGGGGAAGAGGATTGCCGCTCAGGTTGGTCCAGTGGATGGTGTAGGCGGGTGGGTGGATTAAATCTGTGTGTGGAGGGGGGGTCTGTGTGGGGATGTGTGTGGGAACTTGTGTGGTCAAGTGTGTGTGCTTGCATGTGTGCATTGAAGCACCTCTATTTCCTTACCCCTGTCACAGAAAATCCGTCTTGTTTGCGACCTCCCACCCTCTTCCTGGTTCCCCTTTTCTCTTCCTAGTTCCCCTTTTCTCCTCCTAGTTGCCCTTTTCTCCTCCTGGTTGCCCTTTTCTTCCTGTCTTCCTCCACCCTCTTCCTCTAAATCTTTGTTCCTTAATTCCTCCCTTAACCTTCCTCCGAGTCTTCTCTTTCTCTTCACTCCCCACTCGCACCTTCCACCACCCCAGATGACGTCATCTGCCAGGCTGGCACATGCTGACGTGGCTATCTACAACGGCGCCACCGAGGACGCCACGCAGCGCCAGCTGGAGCGTGCATGGTGTGAGATGGCGACACAGCGAGCAGGACCATTCTTGGAGCAATGGAGAGAGAACTTCCATAGGCTTCAGGGGCAATGGCAGATTCCTGCTGGAATCTCTGAGTTTAGGGTCCCACACTCTATGGCTGCCCGTACGCAGCCTCATTTCCTGGAAGCTGTGCAGTCTGTGTGGACCCGCTGGGCGGCGCTGATGTGGCGTCTCAATGTGGATGCTGACGTGGCAGAGAGATGGTTCCACAAGCTGGTGTTGGTGGAAAATGGGGTGAGGAGGGAGGAGGAAGGGGAGAAGGTGAGGGAGGAGGAGGACTGGCAGCAGGTTGGAGTGGCAGGGGGGTGGGTGGCAGCTGCGATCCTCTCCTTCCAGCATCTCCGCAGGTGCACCATTGCATGTCTTGGCTCGTTAAATTTCTTCCTTTATTTTCTCATCTGCTTCTCCTTCGTTCGCATGTCGTGTGCGCAGCTGCCTGCATCCATGTGTGTGCGTGACGCTTTGTGCATGAGGGGGAGGGGGGTAAACGTGTGACACTCACTGTCTGTGTTTTTGTCTCTCTCTCTCACTCTCTCTCACTGTCTGCATGCAGTCAAATCCATCGTGTGGAGCGTCCCGACTCTCTCAAGCTCGCTCTCTTCGTCGCCCTCCATGCAGCCTCCCTCCCCAACCTCCCCTCTCCACCTCACCCTCCCTCCACCACTCAACCACCCACCTCCAATGATCCACCACCCGGCGCCCCACCTCTCAGACCTGACTCGCCCGGAGTGCTTGCTGCTGCAAGAGAGGCACTTCAGTGCTTTGCAACTGACACTAACCTTCCACAAGAGATTCTGGTGAGTGGGGTGGGGTGGGCTTTTTTTTGGGAGGATGGTGGGTGAATGGGGTGGTAACTGTAGGCTCCCAAGGTGGCAAGAGTAGAGGGTTTTGTTATGAGTTATGTGTATTGTATTACAATTTATTGGTTAATGCAAACGTTTCCTGATGTCGATTGCTTTTGCAGGATCAAGCTTTGGAGATGTTGAATCCACTCTGTGATGGTGCTGTTGATGGTTCTACCGATGGAAGCGTTTTTTGGGATGTATTTAGGAATGGGTTAGTATTTTTGCTCACAAGTGAAGTCTTACGGAATGTACATTCCTGGCGGGTGTGCTACAAACGCGGATCTGTGTTCATCAAGAAATGCGGCAAATCTACGAATGTGACGGGAGAAATGCGGCGTGAATTTCCCCCTCCACCGTCATGGCTGCTCCGCCTGTTGCGCTCCAGTCGACGCGCACCTCTTCAGCTGCCCTTCATCCTCGCCATAATCATCTCGCGATATGCGACTATCCGCACCGAGTCGCCTGTATACTGCGTAGATCCAATCAGCGACCCGGCTTCACTCGCTTGATTGAGCGAAGCGCGCACCCCCAACGCCATCCTTGCACATCGATCAGGAGAAGCTTCGCTACTTGCAACCATGGCTCATCCCCTCGCTCCCCCGCCTATCCAACCGCTTCTTTCTCCGACGGAGCATTGGGATTGCCATCTTCCGCCGGTTCCCAGTCCGCGTCCCCCTCTACCTCGGGATCTCCGGGCTCCTTTTCCGCGCCGTCCCCTTCCGCCTCGATAGTGTCGGAATTCGCCCCATTCCCGTCCGCCGCCGCTTCCTCTTCCGCTTCCTCTTCCGCTTCCGCTTCCGCTTCCGCTTCCCCCGCCCCCTCGGGATTGCCGCGGGAGCGCGCCTCTCCTGGCAGCAGCGCGTCGCCCGGCGGCGACGCGGCAGCGGTCGAGCCGCAGCGCGCCTCAGCTGACTGCGCCGCCTCTCCTGGCGGCGACGCGTCGGGCGGGGGCGGCGAGCGGCATCTCTTCTGCTTCGGGCTGGGATACGTAGCAGTGGCGCTGTCGAATGTGCTCCTATCGAAAGGCTGGTATGTTGTTGTGCTTCTATTGGAGGCTGTGATACGTGGCAGTGGCGCTGTCGAATGTGCTTCTATCGAAAGGCTGGTAGGGCCTGAGGCGTGTCAATACAACCACCACGTACCGGCATCTGCTGTCCCGTCCCTCGCATGCCCCCTTGCATGCCCATCTATCCACGAAGCGAAGCAATTTGACTCTTATACCTCTCTTCCTTGCTCGGCCTGTGCCGCCCATGGCAGGCGTGTGTCAGGCACGTGCAGGAGCCAGGAGGACTGGCACCGATTGTGTCACATGGGCGTACAAGCACACCTGCTGGAGGACCATGGCACTGCCAGGTCAGCACCCGAGATTTCCCTGCTTTTCCGGGCTTGCAAACCCCCGGCACACTTTCTCCTCACTCCCCATTCCGTCCTGCACGTGCGTCATCTCCATACCCTCTCTTAGCCAGGGATTGAAACTGCTTCTCCCGTATTCCTCTCTGCCCGCCCCCCCCTTCCGCCAATTATGTGCTTGTCTTAGTCTCAATATGTCACTCCCTTTTCACTCCCATCCCACTGCCTTCCCTCCCTACACCCTTGCTGCGTCCCCTACTTGGTCCCCGTTTTTATCCCTCTCCACGCGTCGCTTCAACCAGCCCCTTGTGTCTCCCCCAGGCCTCTCTCTCCGCCCTTCGCTCTGCCACACACGTACTCGTCTCCATCCCGCCATTTCTGTCTCCTCGCCCCTCATCCCCGCAACACGTTGACATGGTGAGTCCACCACAAGAGTTAGTCTTTGCCTCGCCCCCCCCTCCCCATCGCCGCCACACCCACCACATCTCCATCCCCTCTCTCTCTCCTCTCTCCTCGCCCCCAACCCCACAACGCGCTGACTTGGTAGGTCAGGCTGGTTCAGTCAAACGCGCGTGTGCAGCCATATCATGCTTTTGAGACATGGTAGGGTTGGCTTGCTAGCAGCTAGCTACTGCACACAATTGTCTCGTGCTCAGTCGTTTTTGTTTCCCATTGTTTCCTCATGTGTTTCTTCAGGTGCTTTCCTCCTGTTGCGAGCACCTGATGCAATCTGCCAGGCATCGGCTGAGGTGGATCGGATACCTGTCTTCCACAGGCGTCTATGGTGACTGGGACGGCCAATGGGTGGATGAGGAGTGAGTGAGTGAGTGAGTGAGTGAGTAATCAAAAGCAGCTACTGAGTGCACGAGTGAGTGAGAAAAGCGATGACATCTGACCTTCGCAAACCTCCCATCGAGGTAAAAGGGGATTCTTTTTCCCTCAACTCTTCCTCATCTCCCTTCTGTTCCCTGCTCCATTCCCCCGTTACAATCACGGCTACACAATAATTCCATCTCTCCCGCACGCACAAATGCCCTCTATGCCCGTCCCTCCGCATGCACACACACATCAGCTCCCCCCCGCGCCCGCTCGCCCCGAAGGCCGTAGCTCGCTACGCCGCCGAGAGGGAATGGCTGGCCTTTCAGGCGCAACTGGGGGAGGCGTTAGCTGATGCACCAATGCAGAACGAGGCACTGGCTGATGCACTCGTGCGGAGCGGGGAGAGCAGGTGTCATCCAGAACCGAGCAAGCGCGAGGACTCTGCTGTTGCTGTTGTTCGAGTTTTCCGGCTTGGGGGGATCTACGGGCCTTTTCGCAGGTACCACTGGCTTATCCTGGTTGCTAGGTCTTTTGCGCTACGTCTGCCCCCTTTCTCGCCTATCCTCTTGTTTCAATTCAACCATCCTCACTTTTTACCCTACCCCTCTGCTCACCTTTTCCTCCTATCCTTTGTCCTTCCTCCTTGCCTCCTTGCTGCTCCCTTTCTGGCAGTGCTCTGGACACAGCAGCAGCAGAGATGGGAGCAGGGGATGTGCCGTCACCCCATTGGACAACAAATCCTAATTCGACGAGCAGCAGGCGAGGGGAGAGCAGCAATGGAGAGGACAGCAGTGTCACCAGTCAAGTGCTCAGTGGCAACGGGGACAGCCGCAGCACTCAGAGCAGCAGCAGCAGCAGCAGCAGCAGCAGCAATGGGGGTGAGAGCAGCAGCAAAGGGAATGTGAGCAGCACCAATCGCGAGCGCCGGCAGAGGAAGCGGTTCACGTCGCGGTGCCACGTGGCAGACATCTGCGCTGCGATTGGTGCCAGCATGGACGGCCGTGGCAGCAGGTGAGAGGGAAACACAGGTGAGAGGGAAACACAGGTGAGAGGGAAACACAGGTGATGCCCGTTTGTGGGCCGTCTAAGATAAGTAGACCATTATGGGCAGTGGTGGAAATGAGGCCCACCCCTCAGTGAGACCCCTTTCTCTTCATCTGTGTAGGCGGTGTGTCCGTGTGAGTGAGCTGGGCGGCCGTGTAGGCGGCGCGGGCGAGTAGTCTGGTCTGGGAAATTGTGCAAGCTTGGAAATCACTCTTCCTCTGGCTCTTCATCCGCTCTCCTCCCCCTTCCTCTTTCCCCCAGTGCAATCATCAACATTGTATATGACGACCCGTCTCCTCTCCCTCCGCCCTTCCCACGTGCCCTTTCCTTCCGCTAGCCTCACCCCTCCTCGCCCCTCACCCCTCGCCCCCCTGTTCTCATCCAGTGCAATCATCAACATTGTAGATGACGACCCGTCCCCTCGCCGCCACGTCATGCAGTTCGCTCGCCAGCTCATCGCCTCGGGAGAATCTAATCTCTACTGGCAGAAGCTGGAGGCTCTGCGGACCACTCTGCCGCCCGGAATCAACCGGCGGGGGCCCAACAAGGCGGTGAGAGGCGCTGAGCAAGAGCAGAGAAGGACGACGCAACCCACCGTTGCCACTAATACAGACCTAATGGTTACCGGTGAGACAGAGAGAGAAGAAGTTGACCTGAGTACTGATGGGGAAAGTTCCGCGTTGGTGGTAAATGCCAGGCGTGAGCAGGCTAACAGATCATGTGGTGTGATTGATGGTGGTGGGGTTCAATATGGAGTCTCCAATAACGTTCCGCGTGGTGATGATTGCAAAAAGGTTACAAAACTACGCAATCCAGACGCCACCAACAGAAGCCTACCGGATGGGGATAAAAGAGCGAGAAATCGTCGAATGAAGAGCGAACTGGTAGGAGTTCTGCAGTTCTCATCCTTTGTGGATGCTCTTAAAAGTATGGCTTCTGGACATATGGATCCATACAACTAATTGTTGGAAGGGTACTATTAATTTTCAAGGTAGCAATATTAACTGTTTAACCTTGAAGTATGAACAAGGTCTAGTGTTTTCGGTCAAAGTTGGACGATCAAAACGTGTCATCCGCTGACGTCAACGCATGAGAGTCGACCGTTTCTCCGAACTGGATGTGGGGCACTTGCATCCCACGAAATGGGGGGTACACTTGCATTAACTGCAGAAAACGACAATCAGATCGCAGTTGCTTCCTTGGCGTTTCGAACAGCCATACGATTCCATTAAATCATTTCCAATCTGTCTTCATTCGATCTCGCTTTGTTTCATCCAGGATTTGTGAGAAGCTTCTTCTCTCCTCCCTGCCGCCTTAGAAGTTCGAACAGTTCACGGACTCGAGATTCGCGATCCACGGAATCACGGCTCGTACTGGACGATGCTGGGTGTGGGTGGGGAGGGGAAGGGGGGCAGATTTGATGGACGGGCGGGAAGGGGGGGGGGGGGGGGGGGGGGGGTGGGGGAGGCAAGGGGTGTGCATCCTCGTTGTGCAATGTTTTGGAGGAAAGTTATTACAACGTGTACTAGTCAGCCATTGTTTTTCAACCCAAAACGATGAAAACGGGTACTTATATATTTTACTGACCCTTATCCTTGCTATCCTTTTCTGTACTACTAGATTGAAGCCTATCAAGCCGTGCCTGTAGGCTATGTATATAACTAACAGATTTCTCAATCATGGACCCAAGGTCCTGCCTATCCCCCAGGATCTCCTGAGGAATGGCAGTCTTCAGCCTCCTCAAACAATCACTTATTTTCTCTCTCCGCCTCCTCTCTTTCACCGAACGCGGCCTAATTGCCTTCAATGCTGGGTTCCCACCACTAGCACCACCAACCCCTCCACCGCTACCACTTCCCCCGCCTCCTCTCCTGCTCCCACCGGCCCCTCCTCCGCCGCCCGCACGCGCTGACGCCGCCCTCTCCGCACTAGACTCCGAGACGCCAAGCGCGTCCGAGCTAACAGGTCCGCTCATGCATTGAGCTACATCCTGAAATTCGGACGGAAATCTTGTGAGTCTGTGAAGCGATGCGGCCGGTCCGCTGTGTGCAGTCAGAGAATTGTTACCAGCTCCGCTGGCATGCTGCTGTCTTGTGCCAGCGAGCCTCTGATGGGGCTCGGATGCGAAAGCAGGGGGCTGGTTGCCAATCATAGCCAAAGAATCCCCCTCAAAATGGCCTGAAACGGGCGCCTGGGGAAAGTTGATACCACGATTATTACCACTGGCTCCTCCAGAAGCGTGCATCTGAGAGTGACGCGAATGCTGAGAGTGCTGTGGTTGCTGCGATTGCTGCATATGGTGCGGGTGCTGCATCATACCACCTGCAGCCGCCGCGTTGCTCCGCTGCTGCTGCATCTCCGCCATGAGCGCCGCAGCCAGCACAATGCGCTCCTCTGGCGCAAGCTCCGGCGGTATCTGCTGAAACAGCGCCTCCAGCTCGTCCGCTGGAGTAACAGGCAGCGCAGCCGCTGGCCCCAGCGAAGCAGGCTCCATGATGCTCGTACGCGGCGGCTGCGGCTGTGGCTGCGACTGCGAGTGCTGCTGCTGCTGCTGCTGCTGCTGCTGCTGCTGCGGCTGGTTCTGAAGCCAATTCGCGCCGATCTGAATTCCCGAGGAAGCTTGGGGGGTCGCGGCGGAAGGCCACTGCGGCGGCGCTCCGAAGACGTTCCCGGCTGCCAGTTGGCTCGCCGCGCGCGAGAATTGCGCCGTGAATTGCGCTGGAGCCGCCGGACGGATCGTCAGCGCGTCGTTCCGCGCAGCAGCCGGGTCGTTCGCGATTATTCCCAATGCCGCAGAGAGCGCCGCCGGTTCTGTCGCCGCGGAACGCGCAGCGTTCGTTTCAATCAGATTGGCTCCATCCAGACCACCTCCCAACGTGCTGTTTGGCAAACCCGCCATCTGCGATAGCGCGCTGAGCTCCTCCAGGTCTCGACCGTGAAAAGCGACCGCGGATGATGCGGCGTTGGTCGCGTCGTGCGGCATTTCAGCAGCAAGCTGCTGTTGCACTAGCGCCGCGTATAGGTCCGCCTCTTCACCACCAGCGGAACCGCCGCCGCCGCCGCCGGCGTGCGCCGTCATCTGCTGCTGCAGCAGAAACTGCTTGGCGTCGAGCGACTGTAGCTCCGCCGCAATCTCGTCAATTGATGATGGCTGTCCGGCAGCGGCGGCGGCGGCACCGCCGGCGAGTCGCGGGATCCATTCAGCCAAGTTATCGAGATCCGTTTGCGAGATCTCGTTCCCTGCGCCGGCCATGAATGCCGTCACGTCGGGATGAATTGCAGAGGAACCGAAGAACGTCGAATCGCAGGCGAAGTGAGAGCTCTCTGGTTTGATTAGCTCAGGCTGCTCTTCCAAAAGGGGCGCTACGTGAAGACCGGGGATGCTATCGCCTGGAGAGTCCAAGCTTGAAAGAAAGCCACCGACTAGGCCGGGAGAGTCAATCTCCGTGTTTAGCGCCGGAAGATACGGCGTCGGGATAGTTGAGCGTGAGTTCCAGGAGTCTACGCCTGCCATCGGTTGGCCCGTAAAAGAAAAGCTCTAGTTTGTTGATTGCAAATGACGTTTCTTCATCCGCGATTGCGAAGACTTGAAAACTATCGCGCGAATGGTTCCGGAACTGCCTGGAACCGCGACCGAGAATAGGTAAAGTTTGTACTTTTAGAAGCAGACGACGCCCTCAGTTGAGGAGATCAGAAAGCAATCGAGATGATTGAGATGCGGAGTGTTGCTGGGGCCACGCCTGTGGCTACTAACCCCTAGCAGGGGAGGGAAGGAGAACAGGAAGGCGGGGTGGACAGGGAAATCAAAACTGAACTGCAAGATTGTGAACACTGCAGCGCTATTTACAGAGACTTCTTCCAAGTCCCATTTCAGCAGCAAAAATAGTGTTCGACACACTCAGCTCCAGCGGAACCATTTGGGGAACACTCTCCATTTTGCCCTTCTCCTTCCGCCCCATCAATGCCCTCCCCTTCCTCCCCCATGTACCCCGAGCCGCTGGCGGTCTGTCATCCACTCTCGCGCAGCATGCCCATCCAGAATTAGCTCGCGAAATTTTGTTAGGAACGCTCCTCCACCGCGCGTGTTCGTCGAGCTGCATGAAGCACGCCTTGCTGGAATTTCAAAGTAGCGAAAATAGGAAACAAACGTCTATAGATCGCCAAAAAACACACACACAAAAATTGCCTGCGAAAATGGTGTGACAACCATCATCAAGGAGCACGAGAGGGGCACTGCAAGCTGTATATTTGGAGAAATATGACTTTTGTTTACACGTAGAACACTTCTTTCGTGCGTCGGATCTACTGGCAAAAGGAGTGACAGGCTTCCAAAAACTGGCAATTTTGTGGAATTTTCGATGCCCGCCGGTGAAGCAACAGCATACAGCCTGGCATTCGGCGTCGCTTGTTAGGCAAACAGCATCCGATTCGATCAAAACCATGCCAAGCCAGAAGCCTTGAGCCTCCGACTTTCCTGCTCGTCACGTGATCAGCAGGAGGGAAACAAACAGCCCTTGACAGCACTTTGCCAGCCAGACTCTCCCAAGAAACAGCCAGCAGTGTACAACTGGCAAGGCGATTGTCAAACGCAATCGGTATCGTTGCAGCAGCAAATCAAGGGACGTGCTGTTTTGGGATATGCGATTCTTTGTGTCGCGAACCAACTGACGGTCCCAGGAACTGTACAGCGCAAAACTTTTCCAGACTGTTTCACGATCACAGTACGATCAATTTTACCAAAACCATGCCTTGATTGGGCGGAGTCAGAGCAAAATTGTCGAAGGCTCCTGCATCGGTGCTTCTGTTGTTCGATCGCCAATTCGTGCTCTGCGGCCCCACCCCGGCCCAAGCGATGCACCGTACAGACAGGACGAGAAGGTCGCGGAGAAATCCTATCCTGCCTTGTAAGTGGACAAAAATTTACGGAAGTCGGTTTATATGGACAAGTACACTGACGTCACGGTTATGTTGTCGTTTAGATAGTTTGCGTTGCTTGCCATGCCTGGTGGTGGGGCAGTTCATTTTTCGTGTATGATTTTTCGAACATTTCGAATCACCATTTACTGAACGAGTTGAATTTCCAGCCACTCTTAGGAGACTCTTATGGTGCTGCTGAACTATCAGGCCCACAATTCGAAGGCTCTAACCTGACCTGATGAGGGTTACGATACAAAGCAATTAGTGGACTTAAAAAAGCTGATAATGCTGCTTAGTATTAGCCTGATTGTTCCGGGTCGGAGTCTAACCAATTTTGGGGCAGCGAAGCGGGATGGAATGGAATGGACGTGCATGATTCGAGCGAGACTGAAAATGACTCCCAGCCACACATGCCTGATTGGTGGAAATCGTGACATCCGTGATTACGAGTGACACACCCGCTTTGTGTAAGAACATTCTCCGTCTGTCTACACCCACAACAGTACGTTTTCTAGGTGTACCGCGTAAATGGTATACATACAGACACTAACATCAAAGTCACAATAATGTTTGCATACTCTTAAACATGCTTTGCCATTCGAAAGGTGTGTGGGCTCACAATCCGGCCTGGCAATCCGGCAATTCTACGCTGTGTCCTAGCGTTGCCACAAACTTGCGGTTGTGATTCTCACAAGTTCTTAGAATATGAAATGAATGCACTAGACAAAGCCTTACCTCTCCTCATGTTTGTAGGCGAGGCCGATGCGCATGGTTCTACACTAGGCTGAATGGCATGTGCATGCAGAATTCATACAGGAGCGTCCACTGGACTGTAGCGGTTGAATATATTACGAGACACCGTACAAGATTCGGGACTGGAGTTGTCAAATAAAGTGCACTGTTTGGACTGTACAAAGTCATTTTGAAGAGCATGTAATAGGCACGCTTATAATGCTAAAATTCTCCGGCGTCACGGAAGATCAAAGAAGCGGTGCTGCAGCGCGGAGTCTGCGGAAGGTCGCTGGCGATAGTCTGGGTTCAGCATGGCCTGCATGGGGGGGGGAGAGAGTGAGGCACAGGGGCAGGGAGATGCAGGGAGATCAAGAGGCAGTGGCATAGCAGAGACTGCTGAAGGCCGCTGGCGATAGTCTGGGTTCAGCATGGCCTGCATGGGAGAGCACAGAGTGAGATGCCGGGGCAGGGAGACGCACGGAAAGATTGCGAGATGTAAGGAGATGCAGGGAAATCGGAAAAGCGAGTCTGCAGAGCAGAGTATACGAAAGGTCGCTGGCGACAGTCTGGGTTCAGCATGGCCTGCAGGGGGGGAGGGGAAGAGAGTGAGGCACAGGGGCAGGGAAATGCAGGGAGATCAAAGAAGCATGGCCCATGTTTCCCACAACCCATGCACCCACACCCCATGGCCACACACCCCATGCCCCCACACCCCATGCCCCCCCACACCTCATACACCCACACCCCATGCCCCCCACACCCCATGCACCCAACGCCTCACCTGCAGCAGCTCCCAGCCGGCACCGTCTCTCCGATCCAGAAACGCCACGGCATTGCTCCACCGGTCGTCAGCAGAGCAGTACCTGCAGGGAGCAGGGCGGGGGAAGGATGGGAGGAGTGAGCATTCATGCAAGGCAGAGGAGAGCAATGGGGCGAGTCTCACGTCGCGGCACCGTCTCTCCGATCCAGAAACGCCACGGCATTGCTCCACCGGTCGTCAGCAGAGCAGTACCTGCAGGGAGCAGGGCGGGGGAAGGATGGGAGGAGTGAGCATTCATGCAAGGCAGAGGAGAGCAATGGGGCGAGTCTCACGTCGCGGCACCGTCTCTCCGATCCAGAAACGCCACGGCATTGCTCCACCGGTCGTCAGCAGAGCAGTACCTGCAGGGAGCAGGGCGGGGGAAGGATGGGAGGAGTGAGCATTCATGCAAGGCAGAGGAGAGCAATGGGGCGAGTCTCACGTCGCGGCACCGTCTCTCCGATCCAGAAACGCCACTGCGTTGGTCCACCGGTCGTCAGCAGAGCAATACCTGCAGGGAGCAGTGCAGGGAAAGCAAGCCATTAGCACTCCAGGGGTGAGCACTTGGGCAAGCGAGGGGGCAGCATTGGGGAAAGCCAGGGGCACACCAGCAGGTAGCACCGAGAGAGGAATGAGAGAGCCTGTATGGGAGGATTTTCAAAGAGCACCTCCCAAGTGCGAGTTTCCAGAGAGAACCCTAAGGGAGGGCTTTCGAAGAGTGCTTGCTTACTCTCGTGCTGCTGGGATGTTGAGGGAGAATGTGGTCTCCAGCAGTCTCTGGCGGCGGTAGCGTGGGGGAATGGGGACCGGGGAAAAGGGGTCAGGAGGGAAGGGGAGCGGGAAGAGCGGGAAAGAGGAACAGGCATCGAAGTGGGTGTGTGGGGGGACACGAGTTCTATGCATGGCATGTATGGCATGTATGGCATGTATGGCATGTGTGGCATGTATGGCATGTATGGCATGCATCATGGCATGTATGGCATGTATGGCATGTATGGCATGCACGGCATGTATGGCATGCATGGCATGTATGGCATGCATGGCATGTATGGCATGCATGGCATGTATGGCATGCATGGCATGTATGGCATGCATGGCATGTATGGCATGCATGGCATGTATGGCATGTATGGCATGCATGGCATGTATGGCATGCATGGCATGTATGGCATGTATGGCATGTATGGCATGCATGGCATGTATGGCATGTATGGCATGTATGGCATGTATGGCATGCATGGCATGTATGGCATGTATGGCATGCATGGCATGTATGGCATGTATGGCATGTATGGCATGTATGGCATGTATGGCATGCATGGCATGTATGGCATGCATGGCATGTATGGCATGTATGGCATGTATGGCATGTATGGCATGTATGGCATGTATGGCATGCATGACATGTATGCCATGTATGGATGGCACGTACGGCATCTATGATGTTTATGACACGCACAGAAGTCATAAAAGCACCTGCACGTGTCATATTGCTCCCCAATAGCGCAGCGCCCTCACCTGCAGTGACGGCCCGTCAATTGCCCCCGGAGCACAGAGAGGCACGAATGCCATGTACGCCACTAGCAGCCCTGCTGCATAGCTGGGGCGGGGTGGAATGGGGTGGGAAATGGTGGGAAATGATGGAGAGGAGAGTAGGATTCGGGAAAGGAGTCGTCCAGTCTGGTGAAGGCACACAGAGAGGGGATGAAGGCCATGTATGTCACTAGCAGTCCTGCTGCGTAGCTGGGGAGGGGTGGGGGGGGGGGGGGGGGGGGGGGGGGGTGTGGGGGGAGCAGGGCGGAGGTGGGGTGCGGGTGGAGGTGGGAAAGGAAGGGGGCTTAGACGTTGAGTGAACACACAGAGAGGGAACGAAGGACACGAATGCCACTAGCAGGCCTGTTGCATAGCTGGCGAGGGGTGGGGGGGGGTGGGAGGAGGAGTATAAGGCGGGGGGGGGAAGAAAGGGGTAAAACGTGGTCACTTTAAGGCACATCCCCCCACACCCTCCCTTACCACCCCACAACTCCCCCACTACCCCCACAACCCCCCTCAAAACCTCTTCACCGCACTCACATGTCATCCGCGAGGCCAAAGGAGCGGCGTTCCTGAAAGGACTTGGCGCCAGCAGAGGCAGCGCGGCGCCAGAGGCTGTCCTTCACCTCGTCCACGGCATCAAAGGCGCTGCCCACTCCTGCTGAAAGCACTGCTGGGTTGCTGCGAGGGGGATGGGGATACAAGGACAAAGAGTTGGAAGACAGCGAGTGGGCGTGGAACTGAAGTGGGCATCAAAGGCAGTGCCCACGCCTGATGAGAGCACTGCTGGGATGCTGCGAGGGGGATGAGATGGTAGAACTGGGATGTCTCTCAGGTTGGATGTGACTTTTGAGAATTCTCAAAAGTCACTCCCATAGAACTGGGATGTCTCTCAGGTTGGATCCTGCATACAGAATGCTGCGCGCTTGTACAGAGTTTGATGCTGGACCCGTTCAGAGTAAATGCTGCTATCGTCTTGATAAACAACAGATTCAACTCAACGCACCTGATGTCAATGGCGAAGGCAAAGTCGCGGAGGCGAGGCACAAGGTAGCGCACATCCATCTCGTTGATTGTGCTGGGGGGTGGGGCGGAGACGGGAGAGAGAGAAACAGGGAAGAGAGGGAACAATAGTTTGGGCACGAAGGCAGCAGGATAACGGCAGGAATTGCTGTTAATAACAGTAAATTGACTATTGGAGATCAATGGGCCATGGAAAGGAGGTGATAGAGAGAGAGGTTGTCATCTCACTTAAGGACGACGGATGCCGGCCCAATGGACTGGTGCAGCCGCCCCTTGGAGTGCATGTACGACAGCCCCTGCAGGAACCCTCTAAGAAGCTTCCGGATGAAGACCTCCCGCCGAAAGAGAGGCTTGGCAGGGTCGAACCTGTCCCAGACCTCGAAGTCCCCCACGGCCCGAGCCTCGGCGGTAGCTTCGGAAGCAGCCTTGGCATAGTCTGCTGCGGTGATGTATCCATTGTCTCGCATCACTAACCACTGCTCTGGTGGGGTGGGGGGAGTAGTGGGGGTAAGGGTGGCGGGGGGGGGGTTCGGGGGGATGGGGAGTGGATGGTGGGGATGGTTGCTGCGGTGATGTAACCATCGTCTCGCATCACTAACCAGTGCTCTGATGAGCGGTGCGAAGTGGTTTCGGGGATGGATGGTGGGGATGGGCGGTGGGAATGGGTGGTGGGAATGGGCTGTGCGGGTGTGGAGTGTTGGAGAGCTCCCACAAGCTCTAGTGTGCTTCAGTGATTTAGCCATCGTCTCGCATCACTAACCACTGCTCTGGTGGGCGGTGCGGGGGAGGACGCGTTGTGGTTGTGTGGGATGGGAGGATGAGAGGTCTCACAAGCGGGGCAATGAGAGAACTACCCTGCTGGGATGCTGCAGAGATGCAGCCACTGCCCCGCACCATGCAAAAGTTTAAAGCATGACAACGGGACGAAGAATCCGCAAAACACACAAGAGAGCATGCAGCAAGCAGCGCACACATCTTCCTGCTGTAAGCGAGGTCTGAGGATTCCCATCAGCTCTCACACGCCTTCTCGCCTGAGCTCGTCTCAAAGCCGCCCAGCAGCACCAACACGTTGCTGGAGGCGTCTGGTGAGGGTACAGAGCGTGCACCTTTCTGCTGTAAGCGTTCTTTTGAGGCGCCTCAAAACAAAACGTGTTTTGAGGCGCCTCAAAACAAAACGTGTTTTGAGGCGCCTCAAAACAAAACGTGTTTTGAGGCGCCTCAAAACGTGAGGGTACAGAGCGTGCACCTTGCTGTTGTAAGCGTGCTATGAGCTGAGCTGAGAATCCCATGCAGCACTCACTCACTCACACACCTTCTCGCCTGAGCCTGTCTCAAAGCCGCCCAGCAGCACCAACACGTTGCTTGACACATCCACCTCGTCGTCCTGTGTCGCATCCTGTGCAGGATGGCAAGCAAGTTACAAAGAAAGTTACAATGCAAACTTACAATGCAAACTTACAATGCAAACTTACAATGTAAATATATTGAATAAAAAGAAGATACACAAGAGCACCACGGACGGACGCATGAACGCGACGTGCATGATGTATGCGTGATGTATGCGTGATGTGCGTGATGCACACATCTCAACCCAATCACACCCACAGCCTCCCCTCCTCCCCTACCTTGAACCACCCAGCTCCCAACCCCCTCACCCCCAGGCACAAACCCACCTGGGCCTCCTGCAGCGCGACATGTGTCACGAGCTCATTGGCCGCCATGGCATCCACGTCAACGGCCTTGGCGGCGGCCTCTCTGCCCGGATACGCCTTGAGCAGCACCCGCGTGCCCAGGCGCTCCCCTGGTGTTACCATGCGCCCTCGGTACATTCTGAGACGACAGGGGGAGGGGGAGGGGGAGGGGGCGGGGGAGGGGGAGGGGGACCTCACTGTGACCAGAAAAGGGAACTCCACTATACCTACTTGCCTGGCATTTATTACCTGATCTGCACGCCGCCTCGCCCGACCTCCTGCCCGCCGCCCGCCAGCTGGCTGATGTCCCGCTCGCTCATTCAGCGCTGCTCCTTCAGCCTTTCTATACCCTGATTTACATGGAAAAGTTTGGCACACAAGCTTGCATGCCTTTTCATACCTGATCTGCACGCCCCCTCGCCCCACCTCCTGCCCGCCGCCCGCCAGCTGGTTGATGTCCCGCTCGCTCAGCCCTGCTGCCGTGTCCTCGCGGGACCCCGGCCACGTCAGCGACGACAGTGATGACGTGGACGAGGATGACCCGGGTGGCATGGAGTAGCTGGAGGGGCATGGGGGTCGGAGATTGCACGGGGGAGAGCAGAATGGGGGAGTGTGGATAGGATGTGTGGGTAAGACGTGTGGATAAGATGATAAGATGTGTGGATAGAATTTGTGGATAGAATGTGTGGACAGGAGGTGTGGATAAGATGTGTGGATGAGATGTGGAAGCACGTAGACAAGGAAGGTGCCTATTAGGAGTGACTCGAAGCAGAGGGTGACGTGGAACTCATTGTCCTATTTCCAGCTGAATTTGAGCCTGTTGCGCCTCAGAAAAAAGCATTGTGAAGAACCGATACGTGGTGCGCACCTGGAGACACACGTGGCACGCACCTGGAGACATTCATGAAGTCGAGGGTACCCAGCAATCGCTCTACAGAAAAGTCGTCCGGCGAGAATTGAACCACCGGATCCACCGCCTCCGCTCTCGCTCCCCCCGCCACCCGAATCTTCCTCCCTGACCTCGCCGCGTTGAGCCTCGATCCTGCCGACGCGCACCCTCCCTTGAGAGCTCCTGCTCTTCGAGCGAATCCATTCGCGGGATTGGTCCAGAAGGAGCTCGTAAGACGCGGCGGAGCGCGTCTATGGATGACTGGTGGGACGGATAATGCTGTGCCTGGTGGGATGGTGTGGCTGGCTGTGTGGTTGCTGGCTCGATGCGTAGCGCGAACGCATGTTGGGACCGAAGAGTGGAACGTCGCGGCCATGATTGAGATGTTGAAAGGATTTGGTGCTAGGCAGTCGTTCTAGGCGTTTGAGATCTGACCGCAACTCCTCTCGCTCCGGATTCCAGAAGAAACACACGGCATTGACAACTTAGATACGTATTTGAGATTAGAGCTAACGCGAAAAGCTGGTGGCCATGGCTGGTTGAAGGTAAGGTAGAACTGAAGGATGGAAATGGGAGAATGGACGGAGAATGAAACGCTGAAGGGAAAATGAAATGCTGGAATGCGGTGAAGCTCAATTTGCGGTGAAGTGACAAGGAAAATCTCAACGCAGAGTGAACAGAAAAGATGAGTGAAGGGGATTTTTCCTTGAGATCATCGAACACAGCCCCTCTCCGTGCCTGGCTGCCAGCTGGATCAGCTGATCTGGCAAGTCCACGCACCAGCGCCTTACTCGACAGATCGGAGTTTCCAAAGATTCTGCCACGCAAGGGCCAGTTTTCGCTCTGGGAGTAACACACTAGCAACAGTGAAAACACCGTGGATGTAAGCTGTACTACTTTTATATCTAATGAGTTTTTGCGTGTAAGAGCGCTTGCTATAATGTGTATGAGGCGTTTTTGCATGGAGTCTCACGTTGACTCAGCATGACTCGGCAATTCAACATATCTGTGATTGTATAAACATTGTGTTCGATCCGCCACATCAGCCTATGCTTTCGCTCCCGTTTTACCAATTGACAATGCTAGCCTTGAACTCTCCGCCATGGCTGACTTACGTGTATCGGAATCCTGCATTTCGTGAAGCCGACTTATCAGTTAACAACGACACTGTTACCAAAAGCATCGCCATGACTCAAGCATTCAGGAGTTACCACTTTTGTGTCCATCCAACGGACATTGCACCTCCTGTTTCAATGGCTAATCTCGGTGCTGACCTGGCAGTTCCTGATAACATCGCGGCTATTATCGGTCTCGGATTTCCTTCTATAACGCTTTTCCAGTCAAGTGTTCAGGCTTGGGATCTCAATGGTCATACTATTAACACTTTTGACGAAGCGCTTCTCGAGAATGTTTCTAAGGTGTTACACCATCATCCTGGAAAATGGATCTGGGCTAACAAGGATCTACTTAAGCGGTTGCTGTTCAGTCAGGCAGCTCATCAGTTTCCTAGCATCACTGCTATCAACGCTACGCTGCTGCTTTATCATCATCACAGCATGCCGCCTAAAGGATCCAAGGCTACCAAGCTCCCAGTTGACAATGGCCTGGAGAATGGTGACTCCACGGATCTTTCTGCGCCTGACAAGTCACCAATGAAGAATAATGAGAATGGCGACAATGGCAAGCAAGCGGCTCCAGAGGCTGGAAGTTCAGGACTCTCGGTTGCTGAGAAGGCTTCTCTGCTTACCGGTGACCTTCTTGATGATGATCCCGACGATGAGCTTGAGCTTGATGTGAAGCAGGAAGTTCTATCTCGTCTTCGTTTTACCGCGATCCTGCTGGTTCCCTTCATCCTGCAGCAAGAGATGGGTTCAGTTATCGCGGCAGTTAAGACTCTTCTGAAGAGGGTGTGGTCAAAGGACATCTCACCAGAAAGCTCTGCGACCGCGTCGGTTCAAACGCTGCTTCCTGCTTTCGTCGCGAAGACGAAGTTCTGTCGCCTCCAGATTTCGCTCCTGCATGAGGCCGACATTAACATCGTCCGTCAGAAGGAAGTGGACTATCGGAAGGCGAACGGTTCAGGCAACACTGTCAAATGCTACTGGCAGCACACGGAGGACTCTGGTTTCCTCAGGGAGAAATCGCTTAACCCGCTGGCTATTGAGGCTGTTTTCAAAAATGTACCTGCTAACATTTCTCCTGATCTGCTGAAGGATTTGCTGTCTCGCTACAAGTTGAAGATCCGCCAGCAGCCACCGTTCCTGGAAGGGAAGCACTTCCATCGCGTCCTGCATCCTGTGACGGGAGCTGACACTGAGACAGTTAAGGGTCTGGTTATTCCGCATCCGGGAGATGGACACAAATGGAGACAGGTGGTGAACATCCCTGCGGACGGCGGAAGGAAGATCCTGGTCCACTACCCCTTGCTGTCCTGCTCTCTCTGCGGAGGACATCATTATGAGTCAAATCATGATATGTTCGTTACGGAGAGGCAGAACAACATAGGGAAGTGGCACCTTACTCTGGGGAGGTAACTGTGTGATTAACCCGCATCTTCAAAGCTCACTTCCGCTTTTACCTCTTATTGTGCCAGCTGATCTTACTATTGCTCGGATCCGCTGTGGCAGCTGCCTCTCTGCGCACCTCTCCGCTGGTCACGCCTATCCTCCAGGATCCTGCGATCGCTTTGATTTCCACGGGTTGCAACCGGGAGGAGTGGATCTGTACGCAGACGGGCTGTGGGAAGGCAAAAGGGAAATCCTTCATGACGGCGGCGGAGCATGTCGAGTCTGCAAATCACCTGCTTCAGCTGGAGAAGCTGGGAACTGCAACACGCGTCTCTCTCGAGAAAGCCACACTTGCCCTGCTCAAGAAGGATTACGGTCTTTAGCAGTTGGGTCAGCAGCGGCAGCAGTAGGTCTTATGGTAGTTGGCATTGTCGTAACCCTTAGCCTGTGGATGAATAGGGGCTGCCAAGGAGTGGTCCAATGAGTAACAGAAATGTATTATCTTTCGCCGGCCTTAACGTGAATGGGCTCGGTGGCTTCACGAAGCAATCTTGGGTTACTGCATGGACAAGGGAAGTGGCAGACGTTAATATCCTCACAGACACTAGATTAGCAGGAAACCACCCGTACTGGGGCTCTTTACGGAACGCCACAGTAGTAGCTAGCACACCGCAGGAGAGGGCCGGTGGAGTTGCGGTCATCTCTTGGGACCCCGGCATACAGTTTAGAAACACGCTGTCTCACCCATCTGGCAGGCTCATTCGGACGGAGGTAGTAGGCAAAGGTCTAGAGGTCACCCTCGTAGCAACTTACTTCCCAGCATCTCCAGCCGCTCGTGTCATCTTTATTAGGGACGTGGTAGGGCCGGTGGTTGATCAGGTCAGAACGGGTAGTCACCTCCTCATCATAGGAGATCTAAACATGATAGAGGACCCATTCTTAGACAAGACGTCAAGAGCTGGCTCGGTGGCCGGTAACGCTAGACTAGTCAGTAGGTGTGGCGCTTTCCAACTCTCAGACGCCTTCCGCACCCTTCACCCTAGCAAGAGAGAGTATACCTTTTTGTCGGCGGCGAAGCAGGCCAGCACACGGATCGATCGAGCCCTCGTCTCGCAGTCACTGCTGTCTAGTCTTGTTTCCGCGGCACATACCTCCCCGGAAGATCCGATCTCGGATCACGGGTTCGCCATTCGAGTTGCTCTCCGCTGCAGCAACAATGCGAAGCTGGGTCCGGGGGTCTGGAGTTTTCCCATCCACTTACTCAACAGACCAGGGATGCGGAAGGTGGTGGAAGCGGCCGCGTCGCAATCAGGAGGGGATTATGTCTTGTTGCTGGCGAGGCTGAACGCGGGGCTTCGAGCTTACGCCAAGGAGGAGAGCAAGCGGGTCAAGGCGACGATGCGTCGCTTATCGGCAACGGTGGCGACCCTGAAGCAGGCGTTGCTGGGAGCGCCTGGATGTGCGAGGACGCGTGATCTTCTGAGGGTGCGGGAAGGACAGCTGAGGGAGTATCAGTCCTCTCGCCGTGACAGATTGCACCTGATGGCGGGCTACGGAGTGGAACTTAAAGGGGAAGTGGCTTCGAAGCATCTCTCTGCAAAAGTGAAGGCCAGGAAGCAGCGTACCAGGATAGAGGAGCTCAAAGTCAACGGTGCAACGGTTAGTGACAGACAAGGCATCCTTGACGCAGCGGCAAATTTTTTTGACGGCTTATTCGGAGCGGATAGGAGGACTCACCGGTCGAGCTGGTCACCTGACCGCAGGTTGTCAGCGGAGGATGCGGACGGACTGTCTCAGGATTGGTCGGAGTTGGAGGTGAAAGAGGCTTTCAAAAATCTGGCTTGTGGGAAGTCGCCAGGTCTTGACGGTATCCCGAAGGAGCTTTTCGAGCAGCACTGGGATGTACTGGGGGAGGGCTTCATGGGGCTGGCGCGCTCCTTCTCTGCCTCCGCCTCGCTTCCTGCCAGCACCAAAGAGGCGGTTACGATCTTATTGCACAAAAAGGGGGACAAGGATATCAAAATCCTAGCGTGAGTTTGGCTTAGGAGCCATAGTTTAGGAGCCTTGGTAGTTGAGTTCGAGTTTAGGAAAAGTATCGAGAGGTTTGGAAGGAGAGGAATGGGGTTTCACTAGCAAGAGTTGGGATACAAGTACAACACCCTAAATTGGGTTGTACTCATTACAGAGTACCCCACTGCAGGCTAGACAGCAAATACATTCTGACACACCCCCATAGCCAAAGTGGGGTGTAATCAGCACAATGAGCAAGCATAGAGCAAGAGTTCACAATAGGTAAGTAAGGCTAGAGCTAATCACAGAGGGCAAGCGAGGAGGAGGAGAGACTGTGGGGGAGAGAAGATGGGAGGCGACTGCTGACGCTGCAGACACACAGACGAGCTGCTGGCTCAGTGGCTACCGGAACAGCGCTCCGGACTACTGGGGTAACTGGCCCCGCGGCTAAAAGTAGCGGCAGACGAGCAACGGACCCACGGGCGACTGGCGACTACCGGAGATTGTAGCCTCCGGACTGCTGCTGCTGCTGACGACAAGACTGCTGCCTCCACTCGACCTCCCCAGCTGCCTAACGCCCTTCTCACACACCCCCTGCTCAAACCCTAGCCCTACACCCACAGCACCCCCTTAAACCCTAAACCCCAGACTCCCACACATCCACCCCCCTCAGCGAGAGCTGCAGCAGTGGGAGACGAAGGAGGAGGAGGAGGAGGAGGGAACGGCACGCACAACCGACACCCCCACAACCATCACCCCCACACCCACCCCCCCACGGCTGCACCGGGTCCAAGAGCGGCTGCTGCAGGGGCCAGGGGCGGCTGCTGTTGGGGCGGCTGCTCCAGGGGCTGCTGCTGCTGGGGCGGCTGCTCCAGGGGCTGCTGCTGCTGAGGCGGCTGCTCCAGGGGCTGCTGCTGCTGGGGCGGCTGCTCCAGGGGCTGCTGCTGCTGGGGCGACTGCTCCAGGGGCTGCTGCTGCTGGGGCGGCTGCTCCAGGGGCTGCTGCTGCTGGGGCGGCTGCTGCTGGGGCGGCTGCTCCAGGGGCTGCTGCTGCTGGGGCGGCTGCTCCAGGTGCTGCTGCTGCTGGGGCGGCTGCTCTAGGGGCTGCTGCTGCTGGGGCTGATGCTGCTGGGGCGGCTGCTCCAGGTGCTGCTGCTGCTGGGGCGGCTGCTCCAGGGGCTGCTGCTGCTGGGGCTGCTGCTGCTGGGGCGGCTGCTGCTGGGGCGGCTGCTCCAGGGGCTGCTGCTGCTGGGGCGGCTGCTCCAGGGGCTGCTGCTGCTGGGGCGGCTGCTCCAGAGGCTGCTGCTGCTGGGGCGGCTGCTCCAGGGGCTGCTACTGCTGGGGCGGCTGCTTCAGGGGCTGCTGCTGCTGGGGCGGCCGCTGCAGTGGCGGCGGCTCCAGGGGTTGCTGCTGCTGGGGCGGCTGCTCCAGGGGCTGCTGCTGCTGGGGCGGCTGCTCCAGGGGCGGCTGCTGTTGCAAGGCAGGCCGCTCCAGGGGCGGCTGCTTCAGGGGCGGCGGCTCCAGGGGCGGCTGCTGCAGCGGAAAGTAGGAGGGAGGGGAGGGGAAGGGCGCGGCCCCCATTGTGCCCTGACGGGCGATGTGCTAGGGAGCCGCGCAGGTCCCCAAAAGTGCCTCGACTGGCAACGAGAGGGGACCGCGCGCAGGCCCCTAAGGCGCCGCGACGAGGCAACGGGAGGGGCCGGCTCGCGGGCCCCGAAAGTGCCGCGACGAGGCGACGGGAGGGACCTGCGTGCAGGCCCCCAAAACGCCTCGACGAGGCGACGGTCGGGGCCAGTGCGCGGGCCCCTAAGACGCCGCGACGAGGTAGGAACCCGCCGCGCGCCTCGGGGCGCACGGCGGGCAGAAAACCGCCACGCGCTCCGAGCGCGTGGCGGGAAGAAAAATGGGATGTCGCGCGCCACGGGGCGCGCGACACACAGTAGGGCAGCGGAATCGAGTGGGCCCACAGGCCAGGAACGTTAAGCTCTGATAACATATCAAAATCCTAGCGTGAGTTTGGCTTAGGAGCCATAGTTTAGGAGCCTTGGTAGTTGAGTTCGAGTTTAGGAAAAGTATCGAGAGGTTTGGAAGGAGAGGAATGGGGTTTCACTAGCAAGAGTTGGGATACAAGTACAACACCCTAAATTGGGTTGTACTCATTACAGAGTACCCCACTGCAGGCTAGACAGCAAATACATTCTGACAAAGGACAGTTTAAACAACTACCGGCCCATCACGCTGCTCAATTTCACGTATAAGGTTCTGGCGAGGGTGGTGGCGGACAGGATGAAGAAGGTGCTGCACTGGGTTATCTCCAAGGAGCAGTACGGGTTCATACCGGGTAGAAGGCTGTCGGATGCGGTCAGTTTGGTGGCGGACATCATTGATGCGGCGAACAAGGGGAACAAGGACTGGTTCTTGTTACTTGTGGACTTCCAAAAAGCTTTCGACTCGGTCTCGCGCGGTTTCCTCTTCGAAACCTTGGAGAAGATGGGGTTCCCTCCGCGCTTTGTGGGATGGGTGAAGGGCCTGCACAAGGAAACAAGAACGAGGTTGTTAATCAACGGCTGGAAATCGGATGCGTTGGAAGTGGTATCCGGGGTGCGGCAGGGCTGTCCTCTTGCTCCGTACCTCTTTATTTGCGCGGTGGAGCCCTTGGCGCAAGAAGCGGCGAAGAGACAGCTCGGCATCGTCAGTGATTCGGGGTGGAGACTGCCGTACCTGGGCTATGCGGACGACACCACACTCCTGCTGCAAGGAAGGGAGCAGATCGCCGAAGCGGGGAAGCTGCTGGGATATTTTGAGAACATCTCGGGTCTGGCCACGAACAAGGAGAAATCTGTTGTCATGCCGCTGGGGAGGAACCTGGGCAGTCGCCCTTGGAGGTCGGATGGCTTCAAGTGGGCCGGCGCAGATGATGCGGAAAGATTGCTTGGGGTGTGGATTACAGCTTCAGGCAACTGCAAACCAACGTGGGACAAAACACTGACACGATTACTGGGGGAGCTAGCGAAGTGGGAGCTGAAATTCCTCATGATCACGGCCAGGGCGGTTGTCATCAATGGTTACATCACGCCGGTGGTGGTTTTTCAGGCCCAGGTCTACCCGCCCCCGGAGGAAGTCTGGAACAGGATCATGAAGCTGATCCATAATTTCCTCTCGGGGAATAAGGCGTCGGCGGAGGGATGTTTCATCCTGTGGGGAAAGGACACGATTTTCGCAGAAAGAAGGGAGGGAGGAATTGGTGTAAGGGACCCCGGCATTCTGCTCGCCTGCCTGGCTGCCAGACGGATTGGTCTCCTGCTCACGGAGACGATGGACTTCAAACGCGACATGATGCTCGCGGCGGCGGGGTTGCCGCTGGGTCTGGACACCTTTTTGTCTCACGAGAAGCTGTTAAAACACTGGGTTGGGGGGAGTGTCCGTTGGAAGCAAACGTGTGAGTGTTTCATGTCGTCGCCGTTGGCACCAGCCAGCACTCCCTTAACTGCTGGTGAGGTAGCGGCGGAGCGGCTCGTTTTCAACAAAGGGATTCTGCTCAACGGGAGAACGCCGGTAGGAGGGCCTGACACACCCTCATTGCCCCCTCCTGCTTCTGAACTGTCGCGGCCACCTCTGCATGCTGTCGTCTCTTCCCTCGCCCCTCGTCCATCCCCCATCACCCCACCCCCTCCTTTCACTGCCTCGCCTCGTCCCTTCTTAGCCTTCCGTCTCCTCTTGGATCCTCCCGCCTCCACCTCCCCCTCCTCCTCCCCCTCTCCATTCCTGCCCTTCCTCGCTGCCTCCCTCCCCTTGCCTCTCCTCCTCGACACCCCAGCAGTGGTCCGTTTTGACCTCCGCACCCCCACTCCCACTCCCACCCCCTCGCTGTGCATTTCCACCGCCCCTCCCTTTCCCCGCTCGCCCACACCCTGGACAGGTGGCAGCTGCTCATTGGCTGGCTCGTGCGCGTTACTCTCAGGAACAGCAGGAGCAGCGGAGGGCGGCTGGTGGAGGCGAGAGGCAGCGCCCTCGTGCCCGTCTGCCGCTGCTTCATGCGCCGCCTCCTCTCCCTCCCCTCCCTCCCTTACCTCCCTCCCCTCCCCCTCCTGCAAGCCCCCCATCTCTCCACCCCACGCCCCCCAATAGCCCCCCTTCCCCTCCCCACGGCTGCATTTACGCCTGGCAACAAGCTGCTAAAACGCCCTGATTACCCTGGCAGCAGCGCCTGAAAATTGGAGAGATACCCTGCTGGCTGCAGCGGATGGGAACCAGGGAGCAGATGGGCGGAACAACGTTGCGGAGGTTCCAAGGGCAAAACTACTCCGCTCCTCTATTTTTCACCTCGGCCAGATCGCCCCGCTTAAGCAACTGCGGTTAGCCTGGAGGAAGCGGGGGTACTCGGCGCGAAGGAGGGAGAACGGTGGGGGGGGGCAATTGACTGGAAGCGGGTGTCAAAGATTCGGGACTCGCTCGCCACGCCTAGTCGCCCTCGTGATGTTTTAATTAGGGTACACAATTTTAACCTTCAGGTGGGGGAAAGACTGGCTTTTCTCAGCTCGAAGCCGAAGTGTCCTTATTGTTCGGAGGAGGAGACGATAGAGCATTGCCTTTTCGAGTGTCCGACAATTCAGCCTGTGGTTGGGGCTCTAAGAACGGCTCTGCGGATGATCAATCCTGGGCGCACAATCTCTTCGCTGGGGGACCTCCTTTTCAGGCGTGCGGCGTCCAGCTCAGCATTTCCAGAAGCAACATTGACTGCCATCACCATCCATCAGCTGTGGGTCGAAAGGTGCGAGTCAGCATTTCGGGACCAGAGGTTCAGGTTGCGGCGGGTTCTGTGGAGAATAGAGGCAACTTTCCGGCTGCATGCGAGGATCTTCATGAAACGCACGGGGGAAAAGCTGCAGAAGGACAAAACAACCGGGCAGAAGATGACACGTGGAGGGGGGCCACCCCAGGAGTTGAAACTTTTGGATCGCATCAGGGACAGCAATGCCAAGAAATGGACATGGAAGGCCGGTTTCGCGGCCATATGGACACGACAGAGAAGGGGCGGCATCAGGCCAGGGCAGACACACTGAGGCGGGGTACCACCTAGCCTCCAAGCACAGTTACAACTGTTCTTGATTTTGTACACTTGCCTGTTCGGTGTATAAGTCAAAAAAAAAAAAAAAAAAAAAAAAAAAAAACATGACTCGGCAACCACCTTGAGGATAACCGAATCGTTAGAGTCATCAAGCTTTCTCAATCGTCCGATCCAGGATATCTGCGCCCGATTGCGTGCACCGCACACCGCTTGTAGAACGGAGCGCTGAACCCCAACGTGCGTGCACAAAAGCACAAACGCAGAAACCAGTAAGACTGGGTGGACCGCATTTTTGCACAAAAAAACTGAATCGAGTTTTTGGGCCACATTCGCCCACTCATATCTGCACAAATTCAACGTACTGAAACACACCGTATCTCACTGCATCATACAAAACCGTGTCAACAACTCCACACCGGACCGGACACGAGACCACCTAACTCAGGCCCTTTCGAAACAGGCTTCATTACCCCATGTTCTGCGACAGTAATTAGGGTGAGCTGACATAACTTCGGACCGAACTTGCCAACTTGAGCCTGGCTGGACTGAACGTTACCTACCGCCGATCTGTACCGTTTAATTTTCCGTCATTAGTACTGCCTCCGCAACCCGCAGCAATGGCGTCGCTGCGATTTCGCGCACCGCCAGCGCGGCGTAAGCTTTCTCTATCCCGCCCATCCAACGTCCCTCTCACTGCGTACTTCGCGCTCGTCCTAGTACTAGTGCTCCCCGCGGCGCCGCTGACAACAACCGCACAGCCTTGGCGGAAGTCTTCCGCCAACGGACACGCGGGAACCCCCCGCGCCGCCGCCACCATCCACAAGCTGACGGAACGGCTGCTGTACGCGGGAACAGGAAAGATTGCGCCGTTGCGGAGGTCGCGGAGCGCCGCCTCTGGCGCTCACGCAGCGGAAACTTCCCTCTCCGCCGACTCCGCCGGCGATGTCCGCACTACCGCTGAAAGCGCAGTCGCTGCGGACTCCGCGGAGATATTGGCGGATCTTCCGCCTGACGCTGCCCCGCGGGTCACCAGCGGGAAGGTCTCTCCGCGCCGAAGCCACGGCGCGTCCCCAAAGCGTCCCGGCGGCGGGGTAGCGCCTGGCGCGCGGCGCAGATTGCCGCGGAACCCCGACTTGCGGCGATTGTGGGAGGAGAAAGTGTTTGCGAAGGGGGTACCGCAGCAGGGGGCAGGGGCAGGGGCAGGGGCAGGGGCAGGGGCAGGGGCAGGGGCAGGGGCAGGGGCAGGGGCAGGGGCAGAAGCAGGGGCAGGGGCAGAAGCAGGGGCAGGGGCAGAAGCAGGGGCAGGGGCAGGGGCAGGGGCAGGGGCAGGGGCAGGGGCAGGGGCAGGGGCAGGGGCGCGGGCAGGGACTGCTGCGGCGGCGGTGGAGTTAAAACGGGTGGTGGTGCGGAAACCTGTGGTGGGGTTCCCTGGGATCAACCAAAAGTCGCTGATTACCAGTGGCACGCCGCCCAGATATAACAGCAGCATGGTGAGTGCTGCCGCCCAGATAGAACCGAAATCCTTCTCTGTTCTCGCATCTCCGCCACCCTTCACCCTTCCCATTCCCAGCCTTCCTTCCCACTCTTTCTCTTCCTCCCCCCTTTTTCCCTCCCCCCATCATCCCCCCACCCGTCGTCCCCGCACCCCGTGGTTCTCCGCGCATCCCTGTCTCAGACCAAAGTCACACCTCCGGATGTCGTCATGTGTGTGGGGAACGGGTTTATCCTCCATACTGTCAACTCCGGTACGTCATCATTGCAGTGTATTACATCTTTATGCAATATATGGTTCTCCCCTTCCAACCTTCCTCACCTGACACACTCACACTCACACACGTTCCTTGATTGAGATAACGCACTCTCAAACGCGTCTATCAATCTGTCTCTTCCTCTTCCAACCCGTTTATTCCCACCCACACCAGCTATGGTGGTGTATAACACTAAGGGACAGCAACTGACAGCAATCACGCCACACAACGAGGTGCGGTGGGGAGAGAAGGGGCGGGGGGGGGGGGGGGGGGGGAGACGAGGGGTTGGGTGGGAGAGCTAGGAGGGGAGCGGCTTCAGGGAGCGAGTCTAAACCGTTTAGAATAGGGCGAGGGTATCAGTTCAATGCTGGAATATGAAAGGTTGTCCTGTAATATACGGTATACACACCCACGTGATGTATCAGGCTGACACGGTCAGCTCAGCTCAGCCCAGTGCCCACACCCACAACGAGGTTGTGGGAGGGTTCCCCGCCTTGCCATTCCCCTTTTCCCTTCCCCTCCCTCCGCACCCCTGGGCCTGTCCCACCCCCCCCACGGCAGTTCTTCAACGCCCTGCCGCGCAACATGGGGTCATACGAGGGCGCGCCCAAGGGAGACGCCATTGCACACCCTCCCTCCCTCCGTGTCCCTCCCTCCCTCCCTCACTCCCTCCCTCCCTCCCTCCCTCCCTCCCTCCCTCCCTCCCTCCCTCCCTCCCTCCCTCCCTCCCTCCTCCCCTGCTGCGCCATCCCACACCCTCCCTGTGGCAGTTCTTCAACGCGCTGCCGCGCAACATGGGGGCATACGAGGGCGCGCCGTCTTGAACTTCCCCCTCCTTTTCGCCCCTTTTTTCACCCCGCGCCCCCTCCCCTCCCCCCCCCCCCCCCTCCCCCCCCCTCCCCTCGCGGCAGTTCTTCAACGCGCTGCCGCGCAACATGGGGGCATACGAGGGCGCGCCCAAGGGAGACGCCATTGGCGACATGACATGCACGTATGACCACCGCTCCAAACGCTTCTACCTCGCTACCTACTGGACCGTGAGTGGGTGGAGAGTGCGGTGCTGCTGGGTGCTGGTAGGTGTGGCGAGGTGCCGGTTGAAGCCAGCATATTAGCAGAGACGCCATTGGCGACATGACATGCACGTGTGACCAATGGCATTCTGGTCTGGGGGCGGCAAGAATGCTACCTACTGGACTGTGAGTGGTGGGGGGGGTGCACTAGAGTGTCTGGGTGATGCTGGGTGCCGCTGGGTGATGCTGGGTGCCGCTGCTCCTCAAAACACTCCCCTTGTCTCCCCTGCCCCCTCGCTTTCATCATTCTGGGAGCGGCAAGAATGCGTATGACAGGTTCGGGCAGGCGAGCTATCGAGCTTTGAGACGCCCCCTCTCCCCACCCTCGGCCCTCACCCCTCGCTCCCTCCTCCTCACCCCCTGCTTCCAGTCGGGCGAGGGCAAGAACGCGTATGACAGGTTCGGGCAGGCGAGGTATCGTAGGACAGCACCGCTCATCCCCCTCATCAGCACCGCTCATCCCCCTCATCAGCACCGCGCATCCCCCTCATCAGCACCGCTCATCCCCCTCATCAGCACCGCTCATCCCCCTCAGCAGCACCGCGCATCCCCCTCATCAGCACCGCTCATCCCCCTCATCAGCACCGCGCATCCCCCTCATCAGCACCGCGCATCCCCCTCATCAGCACCGCGCATCCCCCTCATCAGCACCGCGCATCCCCCTCATCAGCACCGCTCATCCCCCTCATCAGCACCGCGCATCCCCCTCATCAGCACCGCGCATCCCCCTCATCAGCACCGCGCATCCCCCTCATCAGCACCGCGCATCCCCCTCATCAGCACCGCGCATCCCCCTCATCAGCACCGCGCATCCCCCTCATCAGCACCGCTCATCCCCCTCATCAGCACCGCTCATCCCCCTCATCAGCACCGCTCATCCCCCTCATCAGCACCGCGCATCCCCCTCATCAGCACCGCGCATCCCCCTCATCAGCACCGCTCATCCCCCTCATCAGCACCGCTCATCCCCCTCATCAGCACCGCTCATCCCCCTCATCAGCACCGCTCATCCCCCTCATCAGCACCGCGCATCCCCCTCATCAGCACCGCTCATCCCCCTCATCAGCACCGCGCATCCCCCTCATCAGCACCGCGCATCCCCCTCATCAGCACCGCTCATCCCCCTCATCAGCACCGCGCATCCCCCTCATCAGCACCGCGCATCCCCCTCATCAGCACCGCGCATCCCCCTCATCAGCACCGCGCATCCCCCTCATCAGCACCGCTCATCCCCCTCATCAGCACCGCTCATCCCCCTCATCAGCACCGCTCATCCCCCTCATCAGCACCGCGCATCCCCCTCATCAGCACCGCGCATCCCCCTCATCAGCACCGCTCATCCCCCTCATCAGCACCGCTCATCCCCCTCATCAGCACCGCTCATCCCCCTCATCAGCACCGCTCATCCCCCTCATCAGCACCGCTCATCCCCCTCATCAGCACCGCGCATCCCCCTCATCAGCACCGCGCATCCCCCTCATCAGCACCGCGCATCCCCCTCATCAGCACCGCGCATCCCCCTCATCAGCACCGCTCATCCCCCTCATCAGCACCGCTCATCCCCCTCATCAGCACCGCACATCCCCCTCATCAGCACCGCTCATCCCCCTCATCAGCACCGCTCATCCCCCTCATCAGCACCGCTCATCCCCCTCAGCAGCACCGCGCATCCCCCTCATCAGCACCGCGCATCCCCCTCATCAGCACCGCGCATCCCCCTCATCAGCACCGCACATCCCCCTCATCAGCACCGCTCATCCCCCTCATCAGCACCGCTCATCCCCCTCATCAGCACCGCTCATCCCCCTCAGCAGCACCGCGCATCCCCCTCATCAGCACCGCGCATCCCCCTCATCAGCACCGCGCATCCCCCTCATCAGCACCGCTCATCCCCCTCATCAGCACCGCTCATCCCCCTCATCAGCACCGCGCATCCCCCTCATCAGCACCGCTCATCCCCCTCATCAGCACCGCTCATCCCCCTCATCAGCACCGCGCATCCCCCTCATCAGCACCGCTCATCCCCCTCATCAGCACCGCGCATCCCCCTCATCAGCACCGCGCATCCCCCTCATCAGCACCGCGCATCCCCCTCATCAGCACCGCTCATCCCCCTCATCAGCACCGCTCATCCCCCTCATCAGCACCGCTCATCCCCCTCATCAGCACTGCGCTGATGAAGGCCTTAGTTGGCCGAAACGCGTTCTCACGCGAACATCCGGGCCCATTGTGTCTGGCGTTCTGACTAAAAGACTTTTCTTACGACGACTTCCCTCTTTTTTTCAGATTAGTACCGATAGACTTAGTTCTATAGATCGTTCTTAATCCCTTACAAGGCTTGCGGCGGATCGAAACCAGCTGATTTCAACGGTATCGTGGGACAGCACCGCGCATCCCCCTCATCTCCCACCCCACTCATCCCTCCTCCCCCCACCACTTCCCCTCCCTCCCCCCTCCAGTCTGGGGGCAGCAAGAACGCGTATGACAGGTTTGGGCAGACGAGGTATCGAGCGGACGGGACAACGGTGGGGACTGGGCTGCTGGTTGCTGCCTCCACCACTCCCGACCCCACCAAACCGTGGAATCTCTTCTTCATCCCCTCATCGTGAGAGTCTGCTGTGATTTGTTACCATGTGCACTGTTGGCACATTCTGATAGGGTTACCATGTAACGCATTTTGGCGCGTTGTGATAGGGTTACCATGCTGTGCACGTTGTGTTACCACACCACAGCATATTGTTTCGGTACACGAGGTTTCTTGCTGCTGCTTGCTAGCTACTGCCACCACCACATGCGAGTCCTCTTCCTTTGAGACGCCTCAAAAGACGACCTTTGAGGCGCCTCAAAAGCAGTTTCTTGCTGCTGGTTGCTAGCTACTGCCACCACATCCCAGTCCTCTTCTCCATGTTTTTGAGTAGACTCAAAAACTAGCTACTGCCACCACATCCCAGTCCTCTTCTCCATGTTTTTGAGTAGACTCAAAAACTAGCTACTGCCACCACATCCCAGTCCTCTTCTTCTCCATCCCTGCGGGCATGCCATGTGCGGCACGGCATGGCATGGCGTGGCATGGTATGGGATGGCACGGCAAGGCATGGCATGGCGTGGCATGGTATGGAATGGCACGGAATGGCATGGCACGGCGTGGCATGGTATGGTATGTTATGGTATGGCACAGCAACGATGGGAAGAATTCACACGCTGATTTCCGCCCTCCTCTCAGCTTTCCAACCAACCGCCTGGTCACTTTCAGTGAGTCACTTTTCCTTCCAGCACCTAAAACCTTTCTCTGTCACCACTTGCTGCTGCGTAAGCTTCCTCCCTTCTCTGTCACCACTTGCTGCTGTGTAAGCTTCCTCAGTTCTGTGTCTAATGATCTAATCTCGTGTGCTAAGGCACCTTCTCCCCATTCTGCCCCCCCTTCTTCCCCCGTTGCCTCCTTTGCAATCTTTCCCCCTTCCCTCCCTCCCCATCTGCTCTTCCTCCTCCCTCACTGTCACGCAGTGGACTACCCTCAGATAGGCACGGACGGATACGGTAAGAAGCAGAGGTTTTGTGCGGTGCTGTGCTCTGCTGCGCTTTTGCATTGGACAAGTGCGGTGTGGCATGGGTCCAGTAGGGTGTGCGGAGTGCTTGGCTCATGTGATATGCTGTACCTGCGTTTCATACCTGCATAACGTACCTGCATAACGTACCTGCATAACGTACCTGCATACCAAACCCACACCGCATGACATGCGTCATGCCTATGCGTATGCCCATGCCTTCCATGGCCCCACAAACATGCAGGTTTCTATCTGTCAGCCAACCACTTCTCATATGAGGAAGACGGCTTCTTTGGAGTCAGCATCTTGTGAGTGCCCTGCCTTTGGGTCGCCTCAAAAGCCACCTCGTTTGAGGCGGCTCAAAAGTCAAGAGTCAGTTCTGATTCAGCTCAAAAACCACTTCTCATACGAGGATGACGGTTTCTTTGGAGTCGGCATCTTGTGAGTGCGCCGCAACCACATTACACTGCTCTCACCCCTTTCAACCTCTTGCAACCGCTTTCAACCGCTTGTCTCATTGTTGTAGGCTGGCCCCTTTCCACCCATGCCAACCACTCATTGTTTTGTTGGGCCAGACAGAGTGATGCCCTCAAACCCCTCCTCTCAGCTATCTCGCCCCACCAACACTTTCATCCTCCCCATCCGCCCCATTTCCCTCACCCTCCCTATCCCCCCCCATCCCCCGTCCATCCCCCCCATTCCCCCAGTGCAATATCCAAATTACAGCTATCTCGCCCCGCAAACACTTTCATCCTCCGTATAGCCATCCCCACTAGCGACAACCCTTCCGTACCGGACTACACCGTTTGGCCGCAGAAAGTAGCAGCAGATACGCCCTTCGATTACACCAACGGCGGCACAATGTATTTCGGATGCAACCAAGACCCACAGACCTTCACATCCTCTGGCTTAAACCGCATAGGTGCTTATAACGGGGACAAGCTTCCTGGGCACAAAACAGGCGCTTTCCCGCGTACAAACCTTCTACTCCGCCACAACCTGCCCGGAATATTTCACCACGGGCTACGTGACCCAAAAATGGAGCCCTGTCCCTCTAGCATGGGAATACGGAACAACAATAAAGCCTATAGACCCGTCAAGTACGGACGTGCGAGGAGTGGTGGTGGCGCCTGTGAAAAAGCAAATGTGGCTTACCTTTATGACTGGCACATCTGCATTACAGGTGGAGGGGCCTTACGTTGTCATAGCACGCCTGCGCATGTTGCTCGTTCCGACAAGGAAATGGCAGCCGTTTCGGGTGGTTCTAGAGCGGTTCAGAACGGTTGGAGTGAAGGGGAATGGGTTGATTCAGCCGTCTTTAGCGCTGAACAGCCGTGGGAGGGGGATCGTGGCGGTGTCGCTGGCAGGGCCTTCGTATTATCCTTCTGCTGCGTATGCGACTGTGAATGGAGAGACAGCGGCGGGTGACGTGGTGGTTGCTGCTGCTGGCGGGGCAGCATTGGATGATTACTCGGGTGAGTGCGAGAGGCTAAGAAAGCCTTTGGGGGAGGAAGAGGTGCTTATGGGAGGTTATATTTTAGGGAGCGTGGTGGTGGCTGCTGCTGCTGCAGGCGGGGCAGCATTGGATGATTACTCGGGTGAGTGCGAGGTGTGGCAGAGGCCCTTGGGAGGGGAGGAGGAAGAGGTGCTCATGAGAGGTTATGCTGTTCCCTTGCTGCCCTCTTGTGATGGGGAGCACGGTGGTTGCTGCTGCAGGCGGGGCAGCATTGGATGATTACTCGGGTGAGTGAGCGAAGTGACCAAGGGCTGTGGGGAGGGAGGCTATAGGAGGGGGATAGGTGGTTATGCGAGGGAGGGGCGTGGGTTATGGCGTGTCTAGCTGCCCTCTTGCTGCCCTCTTGTGTCGGGAGACGTGGTGGTTGCTGCTGCAGGCGGGGCAGCAGCATTGGATGACTACTCGGGTGAGTGAGAGATGTGGCTTGAGCAGGACAGCCTGGAGTGATTCTCCCTCCCTTGGTGCGACTTTTGGGAATTCTCAAAAGTCGCACCAATGCTCGGGTGATTGAGAGATGTGGCTCGAGCAGGATAGGCTGGAGTGATTCTCCCTCCCTCGCTGTCCATGCTGTGCCAGGTGTTGCTGTGTGTGGATAACGCGTGGTGCTTTCTGCCGCTGGCTTCGCTGAGGCGAGTTCTGAGAAACTTGATTCTCTCATTCTTCTAACCGCCTGCCCTCCAAGGTACATGGGGTTTGCTGAGGTAGTGCGGTACGGTGACTACATGGGAGCAGGCACTGGCAAGGAGGGCAATGCATGGGGTTCTTTTCTCCGAACCTCACACATCCACTCCCCTCCTCCTCCTCCCCCACCCGCTCTCTCCCTCCCCCTCCCCCACCCCACCCCAGGGTACATGGGGTTTGCCTCGGCAGTGCGGTACGGGGACTACATGACAGCAGGCATAGACGAGCAGGGGAACGCATGGGGTGCGGTGCAGTACGTGCCGGGGAGGCCTAGAACCCACTGGACCAACTGGGCTACCTACATCTTTAAGGTCACACTGTAAACGTTCTTGGCCGGTTCAGAAGGCTCCATCAGGGGTGCTGTGCGGTGAAGTATGTGCCGGGGAGCCCAAGAACGCACTGGACCAACTGGGGTACCTACATATGTAAGGTCCCATTGTAAATGCTGTAAAACCTGTGACTGTTGTAACGGCAAGGGCATGGGCCATGACTGGCTGTACAGTATGTCCCAGGGAGACCCAGAACCCACTTGAGCAACTGGGGTACATACAAATGTAAGGTGCGTGCAGCTGTGATTGCTGGCTCTTTTTGGCTGGTTCAAAAGGCACCATCAGGGATGCAGTGCGGTGCAGTACGTGCAAGGGAGGTTCAGAACCCACTGGAGCAACTGGCCTGGTATTTCCACGGTCCCTCTGTGATTTGGATTACCGTACAGCACCGCGCTGTACATCCTGTGCGGAGGCCGCTGTGATGACAGAGAGAACCTACGGTAGGTTCTGAACCTGTTGCGCAACTGGGGTGTTATGCTGATTTGACCTTTTCGAGGTCCCACTCGATTGCTGTGATGTCCCGCTGTGGTTCTTCGAGGCGCCTCAAAGCAAGGCGGAAGGAGCTCCTAAGGAGGTGTTGATAAAGTTATTTTTGAGAATTATCAAAGGAGACGGGCCTGACCTGATTGCAGTGCAGTTTCCCAGCACGTGCTGAGCAGACCTAGACTTTATTGGGAGGCACGTTACCGTAGTTTCCAAAATCGAGATGTGGCTGGTGCAATGCTTTTGGTGACAATATAACTGCCTTGATTCCAGGCCCGGAGAATGTACAGCAAGCAAAGTAACTCTCTCTGCAAGCAAAGTCCCCCTGACATTGTACCTTATGTGCTCTGGAGAGTTGGCTTGGACTTGGTATAGTGCACTGCACTGATATTTCCACTTACAATATTCATGGTACCGTGCGCTTCCGTCGATTCTTTGCCTGGGGTTCCACACACACTCACAATTCACTTCCGTGTTTGAAGTCACAATCATTTGAACTGGTCTTCTAGCAGTTCTCCCACTTGCACTGCAGGCAAACTCTCAGGAGCGAAACCAAAATGACAGTGGGCCAGACCCAGTTCGTTTTCAGTTTATTGGTCACTATTCAGAGTGGTGGGTGGCGGTTCCAAGCGGTGGAGCAGGAAAAACGCTTTAGAATGCACAGCATTGTTTTCCACTGCAGACAGAGCAAAGTGAACCTAGTGTGACCCACCCTGAGCAGCAACAGGTATCATTGGAAGATAAGCAGTGATGCAGACACGAGCATGTTTGACATGGTCACATGGCATGTGGTGTGATGCCATGCACGAGTAGCAGAGAGACAGTCCGTGTTGCTGAGGGAGCAACACACACACGCATGTGAATAACGGTCTGACATGCTGGTGTTGCTGCAGGGTGTTTTTGAGAATTCTCAAAAACACCCTGAGGGAGCAACACACACACGCATGTGAATAAGGGGCTGATATGCCGGTGTTGCAGGAGGCAACCCGTGCTTCTGAGGAGGCAACCCGTGCTTCTGAGGAGGCAACCCGTGCTTCTGAGGAGGCAACCCGTGCTTCTGAGGAGGCAACCCGTGCTTCTGAGGAGGCAACCCGTGCTTCTGAGGAGGCAACCCGTGCTTCTGAGGAGGCAACCCGTGCTTCTGAGGAGGCAACCCGTGCTTCTGAGGAGGCAACCCGTGCTTCTGAGGAGGCAACCCGTGCTTCTGAGGAGGCAACCCGTGCTTCTGAGGAGGCAACCCGTGCTTCTGAGGAGGCAACCCGTGCTTCTGAGGAGGCAACCCGTGCTTCTGAGGAGGCAACCCGTGCTTCTGAGGAGGCAACCCGTGCTTCTGAGGAGGCAACCCGTGCTTCTGAGGAGGCAACCCGTGCTTCTGAGGAGGCAACCCGTGCTTCTGAGGAGGCAACCCGTGCTTCTGAGGAGGCAACCCGTGCTTCTGAGGAGGCAACCCGTGCTTCTGAGGAGGCAACCCGTGCTTCTGAGGAGGCAACCCGTGCTTCTGAGGAGGCAACCCATGAGTGCCACGATGCCATTCCCATGCTCTCACATCCACATCCATAACTGGCATCTTTGCCAAGACTGCTCCTGCTGCTTCCCATGCCACTGTGACAGACCATGCCACTGCCACCGCAACTACTACTACCCATCTGCAACTACCACTACCCATCTGCAACTACCACAGTTGCCTTGCCCCATCTCCTCATTTCCGTTACCCCATTCAGCTGCAAACCCCCTTCAGACGATACCCCCTTTATTCCCCTTCTATTCTCCTTCTCCCCATACTTCCTCAAATTCTCCTTCTCCCCTTCCGCCCACAGTATCCCCATCCCCCCCCGCTATTCTTATTCTCTCCCCATCCCCATCCCCACCCACTCTCCCTCTTTCCCCCGTTTTCCTACTTCCCCGCATGATCCCCATTTCCCCCATTGCCCCCATTCACCCCGTTATCACCACTCCCTCCGCTATCCCCATTTCCCCCGCTGCCCCCATTTTCCCCGTCCCCATTTCCCTCATTCCCCCCATTCCCCATCCTCCCCCCCCTGCAGGGCGACTTTAAACACAAAGGTAGCCCAGTTGCTGTAGTTCGTTCTGGGCTGTCCCGCCACATACTGCACTGCCGCTTTTGAGTCGACTCAAAAGTCCCCCCCGTCGCCCTCTCCCTCCCCCCCCGGCAGGTCGACTTTAAACACAAAGGTAGCCCAGTTGCTGTAGTTCGTTCTGGGCTGTCCCGCCACATACTGCACTGCCGCTTTTGAGTCGACTCAAAAGTCCCCCCCGTCGCCCTCTCCCTCCCCCCCCGGCAGGTCGACTTTAAACACAAAGGTAGCCCAGTTGCTGTAGTTCGTTCTGGGCTGTCCCGCCACATACTGCACTGCCGCTTTTGAGTCGACTCAAAAGTCCCCCCCGTCGCCCTCTCCCTCCCCCCCCGGCAGGTCGACTTTAAACACAAAGGTAGCCCAGTTGCTGTAGTTCGTTCTGGGCTGTCCCGCCACATACTGCACTGCCGCTTTTGAGTCGACTCAAAAGTCCCCCCCGTCGCCCTCTCCCTCCCCCCCCGGCAGGTCGACTTTAAACACAAAGGTAGCCCAGTTGCTGTAGTTCGTTCTGGGCTGTCCCGCCACATACTGCACTGCCGCTTTTGAGTCGACTCAAAAGTCCCCCCCGTCGCCCTCTCCCTCCCCCCCCGGCAGGTCGACTTTAAACACAAAGGTAGCCCAGTTGCTGTAGTTCGTTCTGGGCTGTCCCGCCACATACTGCACTGCCGCTTTTGAGTCGACTCAAAAGTCCCCCCCGTCGCCCTCTCCCTCCCCCCCCTGCAGGTCGACTTTAAACACAAAGGTAGCCCAGTTGCTCATCTCGGTTCTGGTCTGCCCCGCCACATACTGCACTGCCGCCCACGCGTTGCCCTCCTCGTCGATCGTCGCCGTCATGTAGTCGCCGTACTGCATCGCGTCTGCATAGAGGTAGCCTGTAAGGGCGAGAGAGAGAGAGAGAGAGGGACAGAAGCTGCCATTGACTCGCTGTCATGCGTTGCCCTCCTCAATCAATCGTTGCTGTCATATCACAGCACGTCCGCATAGAGGTACCCTGAGGGAAGAGAGAGAGAGGGATCTGGGTTTGTGAGGGGGGGGGAAGGAGGTTTTTGCGCAGGAGGGAGGGGTGTGTGTGGAGCAAGAAGCAGCGGAGGAAAAAATCACGGAGCAACAAAGAGCATAAGAGGACCCACCGAAAAAGTCGTCGAGAGGCGCTTTCCCCGGGCCGGTAACGACCACGCGGCCGACATCCACATTGGCGTTGAGAGTGACATAGGCAGCTGAGGGGTAGAAGGATCGCCCTGCCAGTGATGCTGCTATGATGCCCACGCCTTGCCTGTGGCAGGGGAGTGCGGGAATGGCAAGAGAGAAAGAAGAAGGGTTGATGTTGCAACCATGCCCGCGCCATGCCTGGGGAGGGAGGGGGAAGAGAGAGAGTGTATATTTGGCCTGCAAAAGGAGTGCGTAACTCTCTTGCTGTACTTCAAGTCGTTGTGTGCAGAAGTGTGACCCGGGTCACACTTGCATGCAGAATGCTGTGTGCGGCATGCTGCGTTCTTAGTGCGTGTGCCCATCCTGGATGTTAAGTGCTCGTGGGTAACATCATGGCAAGCACTCGTGCCCGTCATTCTGTCGCAGGAAAATCACAAAGAATTCACCCATCACGGTAACTTTCATCTCTCTCTCCCGTTTTTATCAAACTCCTCTCTCCCCTCCATTGCCCATCTACCCCCTCGGCTCTCTCTCCCACCTGTTGAGAGCGATCGACGGCTGAATAAGGCTGTTCCCGCCGCCCACCCCAACCACTTTAAACCGCTCCAGAAACACCCGGAGCGTGCGCCACTTGCGGTTGGGCCGGAGGGACAAGCGAAGGCGAGCGACGACGGCAGAAGCACTCATGTCCTTACCAAAGGCCGACATGAAGGTCACCCACATGCGCCTGCTCTCCGGGAACACCACCACGCCTCTCGCACTTGCGAAAGCAGGGGAGATGGGTTTGATCGTGGTGTTCAGTTTCCAAGCCAAAGGAACCGGCCCGGGTTTCTGCGTCACAGGCTGGGGGTCGAAGAACGGGGGAGTGTTGACGGCAGCACAGTGTGGCTCCACCCGACTCTCCGCTTCAGGCGTCCCCAGAGCACTTGTACTCGTTAAAGCAAAGGCTCCGATTGTGGTATAATTACCGACAAGCACGGTTTCGTTGGGCGCGCCGGGGTTGGAGTTGACGGCAGCCCAGCCGAAATACATGGTGCCGCCGTGGCGGTAGTCGTAGTCCCCATCTGCTGCGACCTTCTGAGGGTAGATTGTGTAGGCTGGACTCATGGGGCTGTCAGTGTAAGGGACGACGAATCTGAGAATGGTGGCATTCTCGGGAGTTTGGAGCTGCGACTTGGCGATTGCACTGGTTGGGGAGAGGGGAGGGGAGGAGAGGTGGTAGGGGGGAGCGGCAGGGGAAGTGCATGTGTGCATGAGTCAGCCTTGGCTGGTTGGAACTAGATTGGAAGTGTTGGGTGGGAGTGTTGTGAGCGTAGGCAATGAAGAGAAATTATATGAGTCGACTAAAAAAAGAGTGCTGTGAGCATAAGCAATGGAGAGGAAATGGTAAAGGGCCAACAACAACGCATGCCTCGCCTGTTAATACCTGTATTGCTTGAGGTGTAATCAAGAGTTTATTTTTAGGCGCCTCAAAGGTGTGGTCTTTGGTTGCAACAACCGCGTGTATGAAGAAGTGTTTTGAGACGTCTCTCAAAGCGTTCATTGGATGCAATCGTGCAACAACCGTCGGACTTTTGAGGCGCGCCTTACAAACGCCAAAGCACAAACGCCAAAGCACTCACTATATGGAAGAACCAAAGTAGTCGGCAGTTTCGAATGCGAATTGGTTTGTTGAAACGTAAAATCCTGGTGAGCGGGAAAAAGGGGGTGGAGGTACGATCGTCGAGCATGGGGCAGTAGGTATGGAACCGTGGATCAACTAAACAATGGAGGTAAGAAATGTTGAGTTGTACATAGTATTCCACACAAACACACATCCCAAGGTGACTATTGAGGCTTTTCAGAAGTATTTTTTGTCACACATACCATAGGCATCAAGATTGGACACCTATCTCTGTCACGCATACCATATGCATCAGTGCCGATCTGAGGGTAGTCCACTTATGGGGGAGGGAAAAGAAGGGGGAGAAGTGGGAGCAGGGCCAGATGGGAGAGGGTTGCATTTTGAATAGACAAGTGGGCAGCACAAGTGGGCAGCACAGGCACGGCAAGTGACATGGTTAGATCAGGACGAGGCAAGCGAGCACCATCAAAGAGCCATCACCAATTCTTGAAGCGCCTCAAAAATAGGACGAGGTAAGCGAGTTTTTGAGTCGACTCAAAAACAGCACCATCAAAGAGCCATCACCAACCCACACTATCACCCATGATTCAACGTACAAAACATGGTGAGTCGAGACGAGTTGAAGTGGAGAGGCGCCCTCCAATCCGGATTGGAGTTGATGCCATCATTACTGGGAGTGGGGGGAAGAGGTGGAGAGGGAGGAAACAGCGGGAAGTGGGAGAAGGCAGTGGGAAGGAGAGGGAGGAAACAGTGGGAAGAGTTAAAAAATGTGAGAGACCGTGACTAACAATGAGACAAAAGGCCACACGGGGTCGTCTGTGGTTGACGCTGCCACTATCAGCCCCGAGCCCACTGTTGTGTTGCCTCGCCTCCTCGTCTGCCCAAACTTGTCATACGTGTTGTTGGCTCCACCTGACTGCCCGTGGGGAGGGATGGGAATAGGAGCGAGGGCGATGGGAGGGAGGAAAACGGGAGGGCAAAGGGAGGGAAACGAGAGGGAAGAAATCAAGAAGGAGTGTCATGATGGGAGGCAGGGTAATGAGAGGGAAGAGAACGAGGGAGAAACACACACAAGAAGCACCGAGCAGCACCCAGCAGCACCCAGCAGCACCGCACACTCTAGTGCATCCCCGCCACCACGACTGACCATCCAATAGGCGGAGAGAGGAAGAAACGGTTGGCGCGGCGGTCATACGTGCATGTCATGCCATGTTACCTGTGCTGTTCCCAAACTCTGCTGATGTGCTGCCTTCATCCAGCACCCAGCAGCACCCAACAGCACCGCACTCTCTAGCGCACCCCCATCAACACTCACCATCCAGTAGGCGGAGAGGAAGAAGCGGTTGGCGCGGCGGTCATACATGCATGTCATGTCGCCAAGGCTGTTGGCAAGTACAGCACCCAGCAGCACCCAGCAGCACCGCACACTTCAACCCCACCACAACTGACCATCCAATAGGAGGAGAGGAAGAAGCGGTTGGCCAGGCGGTCATACGTGCATGTCATGTCGCCAAGGCTGTCCCCAAACACTGATGTGTTGGCCGGCTTCCTCCACTCCACCACTTGTGGCAGCAACCCGAAGAACTGTAATGAGGGTTGGGGGGGGGGAGGGGGGAGGTTGGGGAGGGAGTGTTGAAGGGGGGAGGTTGGGGAGGGAGGGTTGGGAAGGGAGGTATGCTGGGAATGAGTGAGAGGAAGGAAGAGAGAGGGGAGACAGAAATCTTAGGAGACGGAAATAATAGGCGACAGAAATCGTAGTATGTTTGAGCAGAACGAACGAGGATGTGTGTGTAACAGTTACACTGTAACTGCAGTCACATCTTCCCTGCGAGCGATCATGAATGTGCTGTGCTGTGTGAGTGTGAGCGCACTTGCCTCGTTTTGCGTGACGACGCGAGTGAGTTGCTTCCCTCGCTTGTCGTACACAACCATTGCTGCCAAGGGGGAGAAGAGGAGGGGTGGAGTGGGAGGGGGAGGTGAAATCGGTTAAATGGAAATGGAGCGGCAGTGAATGAGAGGCGAAGCAGGTAAAAGAAAAGCTTACCAATGAGAGGCAAAGCAGGTGAAAGAAAAGCCTACCAATGTTGACAGTGTGAAGGACGTATCCATTTCCTACGCAAAGAGCGACGTCAGGAGGGGTCACATCGTCCTGAAACGTAAAAAGAAACAAATTCAGTGGAAGAAAGATGCTGTAAGCCAAAGGAAATAAAAGAGTTCATGCACATCCAAAATGTGCACTGTTAAATACAAACCGTGTATTACCACTGTATTGTTGTATTTAGGCGGTGTACCGCTGTTAACCACGTCGTAATCGTTGATACCGGGAAACCCAACCGCCGGTTTCCGCTTCACCACTTGTTTCAGCTCCGTCGTGCGCGCCGCGAATTCTCCCACCTCCGCCATTCGCTGCTCCTGTTATGGGAAAAACGGGAAGAAAGGAAACCTTGGGAACTCCATTGCGAAAGGCGCGTGGCTCGAGACGGAATTAATGTCTGACGTAGCGAGCCCAGTCGATGGGTGCGAGAGGTCAAAGTAGGGTCATGGGTCGTAGAGCCCTATATGAAGGCGCTGCGTGGCCTGCGCCTCGAGGCGCCATGATCATGGGGAGCGGCACAATGGGAGCACGCTCAACAATGTCACTAAGATAGATACTCCCGCAGCATTATCATGACGAATTATTTTTCGGAGAAAAAAAAACCTTTTAAATTATTAATGCTCTCATTTCCACGAAAATATACCGCATAGGCGAGGAAAGGGAGAAGGAAATGATTGAACAAAGTTACTGTCGGAACATCGACCGCTGAGTCAGAACCTGAACCTGAGGTAAAGAGCTTTACCTCAGTGCACACCAATCGCGAGCGTACCATCTGTTGCGCGAGCGGATCCACGGCGGGAGCCGGCACGCTCGCGGGGGCTGCGGCGGGCGCAGACGCGGATCTCCCCCGATCGCCGCCGGCGTTTGCGGCTCCTAACAGCGCCTCGCGCGTCTTCTCATCCATTCCGCCGCCGCGGATCCGCGCCAGAAGCGCCTCCCTGCGCGACTCGATAGAGTCGCCGCGCGGGCCATCCCCGGCCGCGATGTCACCACCCGTTCTGTTGCCGTGGTTCCCGCTGCTATCTCCGTCATTGGAATTTCCACCGTCGCCATCGCTTTCAAACGGTGGCAGCTGCGCGGTTCCGGCGAACCAGAGGTTCTCCGACAGCTTGAACACCTCCACGCGGTCGTTCGATCCGCGCATCGGCGCAATCACGACGCGCGTCGCCGCATTCGCTCCCCGCGGCGGAGCTAGCAGCAGTAGAAGCGCGAGCAGCAGTGTGGCGTAACAATAGCAGAGGCGGGGGTTGGCCTGTGGAGGAGCCATTGACTAGGCACTCAGGAGAAAATGAACACTGGATGGAAGTGTGAACTACACATACACCTTTGTGTAGTGTGCAGAACAGCAGGAGCTTTCTGCTTGGATGTGGCTGGGTGGGTGAGTACGGTACGGACAATACGATAGGAGAAGTGGACATTGCTGGGTGAGGGGATGTTTGCGGGGCATTGTTGTTGGTCCCCCCTGGCTGAAACCTTTGCACCTAGAATTTCAGGGTGGATATAAGCTACACTAGATCAAAGTTTTGTGGTTTCGAAGGACCAAATTTCCCACAAGCAGGTGGAATGTCTGGTCCATGTTGCAAAAGATTGTGTTTCGATATTTTAGTCGACTAAAAAATCGAGCTGCAAACGAAAGTGTTTTCCTAATTGCTCACTATTGCCCATAGCGACACAACAAGGTCGGATGGTCAAATGTCTTGGTGGCCTCTTTCCGCCGCCGTGCGGCTCGACAAAGGGAATCGATAGGCGATTCGGTGATGGATGGATGGAGTGTGACTGTGAATAGCGTATCACCGAAGAAACATATAAAGACCGTCTACAAGGAGCTCGATAACAGGTAGTCACTAGAAAGTGACTGCCAGTTAGATTTGGTGATTTTACATTTTTTGTCGTGTGATTTCCCCTCGGAAAAATTATGGAGATTGCGTAAATACGAGCACCAGCTGCATTTTGTACAATAAAAACTCAAGCATACATTAAGCAGCACATAAAATTACATGGCATACGGTATGATGGTGATGCTATGCGGGCGGGAATTCAAGAAAACTGTGCTGCTGAGGTAGCAACACATAAGCACGGTGCATGCCCATCCATACTCCCGTATCTTCTACCACCATGGCTGCCACCAATGCCATTTCCATTGCCACTACCACTGCTATTGTGGATGCTGCTGCTGCTGCTGCTACTGCTGTGCGCATCACTGTTGCTGGTGGTTAATCACCCCCACCGGTCCACATCATGCGTGCAAATGAGGCATGACTTTCATCACCACCCTGCCCCTACTTCTCTTTATTCCCTACCCCTCCCCTCCCCTCACGTTCTCATCGTATTCAACCCCTACCTAGCACACAAGCACGCCTTCATTTCTGCCGCTGCCGTCACTGCTGCACTCCCCGCTTGCTTTCAATCTCCCCAAATATCCCTCTTACCCTCCCATTCTCCCTGTCAACCCCATTTTCCCCATTTCCCCCATTTCCAATATTTCCCCATTCGCTCCCCTCCCACCGTTCTACTTCTCCTCGTGATCGCCATTCCCCTCGCTGACCCCATTCCCCCCCTTATCCTCCTCCCCGTTCCCCCCGTCCTCCCCCCCATTCAGATCGACTTTGAAGACGAAGGTAGCCCAGTTGCTCCACTCGGTGCGCGGCTGCCCCGCCACATACTGCACTGCCGCCCACGCGTTGCCCTCCTCGTCCACCGTCGCTGTCATGTAGTCGCCATACCTCATCTCTGTTGCACCGCGGTACCCTGGGGGGGAGGGATGCGGGGGGATGTGTGTTGGAGGAGGGAGGGGTGGGGATGTAGTGCGGTGTCATGTAGTCGCCGTACCGCATCTCCGTTGCACCGCGGTACCCTTGAGAGGGGAGAAAGGGGTGGGAAAGACTCGTGAGTCGCATCAAAATTGCCCTCCTCTCCTTGTCTACCGTTGCCGTCATGTTGTCTCCGTACCTCATCTCTGGTGCACCGCGGTACCCTGGAGGGGAGAGAGCGAGAGATGGGCGGGTGTGGGTGTGAGACAGGTGGCGGTGCAACGGCCAATTGCGATTCTTCATGACTGTATGTAAAGTGTCTGTCACATATACCCTACAAGAGGAGAGTGTCGTTGTCCTAATACAACACGAGTTGATGGAAGTAAGGCCTCCGCAGCCCACCTGTCCTCTCTTGACAGCTCCCGTTCAACATCGACAATTACTTAGACGCTAAAAACACCAACTTTCAGCGTAAGAGCACGGCTTTTGAGACATCTTCAAAACCAACAAGTAGCATAAGAGGACTTACCAGTGAAGTCATCAAGAGGTGCTTTCCCTGGGCCGGTAACGACGATTCGGCCGATATCCACATTGGCGTTGAGAGTGGCATAGGCAGCTGAGGGGTAGAAGGATCGCCCAGCTAGTGACACTGCTATGATGCCAACGCCGTGGCTGGTAGGGGTGCGGGGAGGGAGAGAGAGAGTGTCTTTTTGGCCAACAAAAGAGCCTGTGGAGGGAAAGAGGACGGGTTTAATGCTGCCGTGATTCTCTTGCTGTGCTTGACGGGCCGCAGTTGCAAACACCATACAGCACGGTGCGTGCTGCATGCTTAATTCTCCTGCTCATCCTGAACGGTAAGTGCTAGTGGGTATTATCATGTCATGTCACGCACTGGTGCCCATCATCCTGTGAAGGGAAACCCATGAACAGTCAACTCCCCTCCCCAGGCGCTGGAAAGGCAGGGTAAGGAAGGGTAATATCCTCCCCTCCCCCGGTCCCATTAAATCCCTCTCTCTCTCCCACCTGTTGAGAGCGATCGTGGGCTGAATGAGGCTGTTCCCTCCGCCCACCCCCACTACTTTGAACCGCTCCAAAAACACCCGAAACGGCCGCCACTTGCGCTTGAGCCTCAGAGACAAGCGAAGCCTCGCGACCACGGCAGAAGCACTCATGTCCTTGCCAAAGGCGGACATAAACGTCACCCACATGCGCCTGCTCCCCGGATTCACCACCACTCCCCGCATGTCTACAAACGAAGGGCCAATGGGCTTGATTGTGCTGTTCATCTGCCAAGCTATGGGTACGGGCCCGGGTTTCTGCTCCACAGGCAGAGGATTGTAGTACAGGGGAGTGTTGACGGCGGCACAGTGTGGCTCAACCAAGCTGTCTGCTTCGGGGGTTCCCAGAGCACTTGTACCCGTTATAGCAAAGGCGCCAATCATGGTATAATTAGCGACAAGCACGGTTTCGTTGGGAGCGCCGGGGTTGGAGTTGACTGGCGTCCAGCCGAAATACATGGTGCCGCCGTGGTGGTAGTCGTATTCCCCGTCTGCAGCGACCTTCTGAGGGTAGATGGTGTAGGCTGGATTGCTGAGGTTGAGGGTTTGGGGTTTGGGGTATGTAGTGTGGTCGACTAATTAACTAGTCGAGCTCAAGGGGTTTTCAGTTGGACTTAGGACTGCGATTTATTTCAGTAACACATACCATAGGCATCAGTGCCGATCTGAGGGTAGTCCACTGATGGGGGAGGGAAAGCAGAAGGGAGGGAGAGAGGAAGGTTAAGGGGACGAATATCTCTGACACACACACATACCATAGGCATCAGTGCCGATCTGAGGGTAGTCCACTGATGGGGGGGGGGAAAGATGGGAGGGAGAAGCAGTAGGGTACGATGGGAGAGGGAGGGAGGCACTTTATAAGTGACAGCACAAGTGGGCAACAATAGAAGTAGGCCAAGTTATGGGGTTAGGATGGGCCAGGGGTCGATTGCACGGGATGAACGAGAAACAAATGAACATGAAGTTCTTAAAGGCTTGAACTCCATAACCTCACCATTTCACCATAATCACTAGCTTGCAATCAGCATCATGCGACCATCATAGAACCATCATCCACACCCTCACACGCGACATGAGCCAGCATACAAAACATGGTGAGGCGAGACGAGTTGAAGTGGAGAGGCGCCCTCCAGTCGGGATTGGAGTTGATGCCGTCGTTGCTGGGAGTGGGGGAGTGGAAAGGAAAGAGCGGAAAGAAGAAGCTGGAAGTTTGAGAGGCGTAGAGAAGAAGGCAGTTGAGGAGCAAAGAGAGATGCACATTGCACGGATTTCAGCCAATTGGGAAATGAGGCTGCTTTTTCAGGGAGGGGATCGAGGAGAGCAGCGGATGACAGTGGAGAGCCGAAACGAGACAAAAGGACATGGTGCAAGCAAAGGTTGAGAGAAGGAGAGGAACGTGGGACACGGTAAGAAAGGTCAGTGAAAAAAAGGGGGCGAGCGTACGAGCCGGGAATGAAGAAGACGTTCCAGTCCCGGGTGGGGTCGTCCGTGGTTGTCGCTGCCACTATCAGCCCCGAGCCTACTGTCTTGTTGCCTCGCCTCCTCGTCTGCCCAAACTTGTCATACGTGTTGTTGGCTCCACCTGACTGGGAATGGGGAGATATGGGAATGGGAAGGAGGGCGATGTTTGAGAGTGTAATCAGAGGAGGAAGAGAATGGGTGAGGAAAAGGAACGGTAAGAGAATGCAGGAGGAAAACGCGAGGGGGGACGAGGAGAGGAGGGGGGCGGGGGGTGGGGGAGGGAGGAGACAGGACTAGGAATCAAGAAAGGGAAGAAGCAACGGAGGGAGGAATCAAGGGAGGGAGGAATTGAGGGATGGGGAATCGAGGCAGGCTCAGCACTCACAGTCCAGTAGGTGGAGAGGTAGAAACGCCTGTCATGCGCATCCCCCCACCCTTACCAGCACTCACAGACCAGTAGGTGAAGAGAAAGAAGCAACCAGCAGCACTGCACTCTCCACCCCCCCCCCCCCCCCCCCCCTCCCCCCTTCCCCCCACACCACCAGAACTCACAGTCCAGTAGGTGGAGAGGTAGAAGCGCTTGGCCCGGCGGTCATACGTGCATGTCATGTCACCGATGTTGTCTCCGAATACTGATGTGTTCAACGGGTTCCTCTGCTCCACCACTGACGGTAGTACCCCAAAGAACTGGCGTGGGGAGTGTGGACGGAGCGGCGGATGGGTAATGGTTGCATGGTGGAATGGCGTCGTCGAACAGGTCCCTCCACTCCACCACTGGCAGCAGCACCCCGAAAAACTGGCGTGAGGGTCGTGAAAGAAGGAGCGAATGGTGGGATTGTGGGATGGTGGGGATGGTGGTGGGATGGTGGGATGGTGTCAGTTTATTATTGGACTACTGATGCGTTGCACTGGTCCCTCCACTCCACCACTGGTGGCAGCACCCCGAAAAACTGGCGCGAGGATCGTGACAGAAGGGGCGGGTGGTGGGATGGTGCGATGGGATGGCGTCAGTTTCTTAGTTGACTACTGATGTGTTGAGAGGCTCTCTCCTCTCCACCACTGATGGCAGCACCTTGAAAAACTGGTGAGAGGACTGTGGAGGGCGGACGGTGGGATTGTGTTGGTGTGTGAAGAAGTTTGTTAGTGTACCACCGATGGAGGCACCTTGACGAACTGACATCAAGGGGTGGTGAAGAAGCAGAGCGAGGGAGAGAGAGGAGTTGGAGGAAGATGGAAAAGAGGCCCGCATTTGACATCGATGGTGAGAGTGGGGGACAGAAAACGAGAGAGAGAGAGAGAGAGAGAGAGAGAGAGAGGAGAGAGAGGAGAGAGAGAGAGAGAGAGAGAGAGAGAGAGGAGAGAGAGAGAGAGAGAGAGAGAGAGAGAGAGAGAGAGGCGGGACACAGATCATGGCATCTCGGAGCATGCAGAGGTGCACATGTCTGCACTCACGTCATGCACTTGCCTCGTTGTGTGGGATGATGCGAGTGAGCTGCTTCCCTTGCTTGTCGTACACAACCATCGCTGCCAGGGGGGCGAATAGGGTGGGGGGATAGGGGGAATAGGTGGGGGAGGAGAAAGCGGTCAAAACGAATCGAGTGAGAATAGGGAGGGAGATGCAAGTGAGTGAGCTGCTTCCCCTGCTTGTCATACACAACCATCGCTGCCAAGAGGAGGTGAGGAGATGGAGTGGGTGTGGGAGAGAGGGAGTGGGAGTGGGGGAAGAGGGAGTGGGTGGGGGGGAAGAGGGAGTGGGTGGGGGGGGGGGGGGTGAAAGTGGTCGAAAGGAACGGAGCAGTGCGGCAGTGAATGCAAGAGGAAGCAGGTGAAAGAAGTGCTTACCAACATTGACGGTGTGAAGGATGTATCCATTGCCCACACACAGAGCCACGTCAGGAGGGGAAGTACGGAGCTTTGAGACGTCTCAAAGGGAAGAACGGCTCACCAGTGTTGACAGTGTGAAGGATGTATCCGTTACCCACACACAGAGCGACGTCAGGAGGGCTCACAACGACCTGAAACGTAACAAGGAGCATATTTAGTGTTCATTTCATGCACGTCCAAAATCCGCACTGTATACTTAAACACGTTTCTTACCACTGTATTGTTGTATTTAGGCGGTGTACCGCTCATTACTCCACTGTACTCGTTTATACCGGGAAACCCAACCGCCGGTTTCCGCTTCACCACTGGTTTCAGCTCCGTCGTGCGCGCCGAGAATTCCCCCACCTCCGCCAATCGCTGCTCCTGTTTTGGGGAACGCGGGAAGGAAGAAAACCTTGAGAATTTCGCTCATTGCGAGAGGCGTACGGCTCGAACGAGAACAGCTTAACGCATCAGCGTTTGGCCACGCAACTACAGTGATTGACAGGTGTGTCAGGGAAGTAGTGTTCAGTAGTCACCAGAAAAAAAAAATCAATGTCTGACGTAGGAAGTCCAGTCGAATGGTGCGCGGGACGGATTAGGGTCAACGGTCGTAGAGCCGTATTTTGAGGGCGTGTCTTGCGCGCTATGCCTGCGCCCCGGGGGGAGTGGCGTCGGGATTATTATCACCAGGAAAATGTTACAGAACACCCTGAGAGAGGTAACCATTGAAACCAACAAACGTACAAACGCGAAAAAGTTCTTGCCCATACCGCGGCCAATAAAAGAAAGAAAGAAGAAAAAACGATGGAAGTACTGTAATGCATCGGAGTGGGAGAAAGAAAGAACTAAGAAAAATTATGCCCGTAAATCGCACCCTGAACATTAATTTCCGAGTCGCGAGCGTACCGTCTGTTGCTCCAGAGGATCCACAGCGGGAGCCGGCGCGCTCGCAGGGGCTGCGGCGCGCGCAGACGCAGAGCTCCCTCGAGCGCCGCCGGCGTTTGCGGCTTCCATTCCGCCGCCACGGAGCCGCGCAAGCAGCTCCTCCTTGCGCGACTCCATGGAATCGCGCGGGCCATCCGCGAACCCCGCGCCCGAAGTCGAGTCGCCTCCGCTGTTATCGATTTCGCCGTGGTTCCCGCTGTTATTTCCGTCATTGGAGGCTCCACCGTCGCCAGTGTTTTCAAACGGCGGCAGGTGCGCGGTTCCGGCGAACCAGAGGTTCTCCGACAGCTTGAACACCTCCACGCGGTCGTTCGATCCGCGCATCGGCGCAATCACGACGCGCGACGCCGCATTCGTTCCCCGCGTCGCAGCTAGCAGCGGTAGTAAAAGCGCGAGCAGCAGTGTGTCGTGACGGTAGCCGCAGAGGCGCGGAGAGGCCTGCCGCGGAGGAGCCATTGGGGCAGGGGGGCTCTCAGCAGAAGTGAACACTGGGTACTTGTGTGTGAACACACAGCTCTGGTGTATGTCTGGTGGGTAGTACAGTATCCGAGGAGCATTTTGCTCTGATGCGGGTGGGTGGGCGAATGCGCACCAGAGGAGACCAGATGTGGGTGGACATTGCTGGGTGAGGGCGTGTCCAGCGCGTACATTTACAGTTCATAAACCCATTCAGTTACCACATTTCCTATTGTAACACTGCATTTTACAAAAAGGTTGGACACGATCAGCTTCCGTTCACAAGACGGCACGCCCGCTGCGCGTACGACGAATCGTCTAACACACGTTACTGGAATCAGTGTGCGCGCGAACAAGGGTACAGCATTGCGTCCTGCCCGCTACAGTAATTTTCGTTCAAGCGTGGAATTTTCGCTTGTGCGTGAATTTCTGTGCGATGATAGACGAGGCAACCAGTTACTCGTTTTCCACGAACTGTAGAAATTTGCGTGCAGAGGGTTGTGTCCGCGCGCTGGAAGGCCCAATCCTTCGGACTCGACTCACCTTATATTCGTTTTTTGGTACAGTGAGATTTTTTGAGCCGGGAAACGTGTGAAGGTACTTTTTTCCCAAAATGTACGCGCTGGACACGCCCTGAGGGGATGTTTGCGGGACATTGTCCGACTTTGATCCAACAGTCGCACTGCCCGGCTGAAACTTTTGCACCTAATGGAAATATCAGGGTGGAAAAAAAACCCCACCAGATCAAAATTTTGTGGTTTCGGGTTCCGTTTTCCCACAAGTTGGTGGATTTTGTTCCCAGCAATGTCTGCTCCACGTACTGTTTTCCCGTCGTTGCAAGTGTGAGTGTTCTCCTAATTGCGCACCATATTCCCGCAGATGGTCAGGTCACAGGGGGCAAATGTCTTGGTGGTCTTTTTCCGCCGCCGTGCGGCTCGACAATGGGAATTTAGAGGCGATTCGGTGATTGATGGATTGATCGACTGATGAACATATAAAGGCCGTCTACAAGGGACTCGATAACACGCAGTCACTAGAACGTGAACTGTCAGTAAGATCTCATGATTTCGTGAGAACTTTATATTTCTGTCACATGTTACAAAAATACCGGTTGTAATAAATGAGAACTTCATAGACGGTACACGGTGTCGTGACGAAACACAGAATCCTAAAACCCATTACCCCCACACGAACGAACGTTGTCCGTTGGATCAAGCTGACTATGCTTCCATCTCCCCGAAAACCTACTTCCCCCTTTTCACCTCATCTCCCACCCAGATTTCCAGTCTCTTTCCTCTCCAGTCTCTTTCCAGCCACGGCAGTCCTTTCAACCCCGCAACCCTATTTTGGCTGCAACGGTCACGGGCTTCTCCCTTTCCCGTAGTTCCATTTCTCTCACCTCTTCCTCGCCTTGTGGGCAGTCTCCTAAACAGCCGCCGCCATGGGTCGTATGCACAGTCACGGGTCAGTAGATTTTCATCGCGCTGCGATACCTTGTTATGTCGGATTGTTAGGTTAAAGGAAGCCATGCTGACGCGTGTAGTCCTCGTTTTTTGCACACTCTGCGTCTGATTCGGTTGATGCAGAAAGGGTATTTCGCGCTCCGCCCTGCCCTACAAGCGCACTCCTCCGAGCTGGTTGAAGATCTCCGCCCCCGAGGCACGTTCTCTCTCCCTTACCGCTGTTATTCCAGATTTTTTGTTTTTTGCCTGCACTCAGAGATCAATTCGAAAACCACGATTAGGTGTACCTGCGTAGGCAAAGGATGAGCTTCTATGTCTCACATCCAAGAGACCTCTCAGAAAGACACAGTGCTCGTCGTTTCTTGTTACGATACGTGTTTGTGCGTCGCATTGACGTAAAGAAAGTGTCGGCTGCCACACGCTCATGCTGCCTAGCACAATTGCAAGCTCGCGGCGAAGGCGGCGATCCTTCGTACCACTCTTTTTTTCCCACTCCCTCACTCGCTTCGCGGTTTGTCATTCCTTGCCATCAACCCACGGCAGGTCGACGAGCACATCTGCAAGCTCGCGATGAATACGCCGGTCGCATATCTACGTCATTCTGAGAGACTTCTAACTCTCACTCACATTTTCCCGTTTTCTCGCCTTTCATGCTCACCCTATGCCAGGTCGACGAGCACATCTGCAAGCTCGCGAAGAAGGGTCTGACGCCGTCGCAGATCGGCGTCATTCTGAGAGACGCCCGATTCTCACTCACATCGTCTCGTTTCCCTCTCCTCGTTCGATCACTGTTACAGGTCGACGAGCACATCTGCAAGCTCGCGAAGAAGGGCCTGACGCCGTCGCAGATCGGCGTCATTCTGAGGGACTCGCACGGTATCGCGCAGGTGTCCGGCGTCACGGGCAGCAAGGTCCTGCGCATTCTCAAGGCTCACGGTACCTGACCTGAAGACTCTTCTCTGCTGGGGTAAACCCCCCTCGAATATTCCAACGTCCCTTTCTGTAAGCTTCACTGCGGGCCGCACGGCCGGAGCAGTGAGCGGTCAGAGGGCGTTATCGGTATGTGCCACTCCATCCCTCCGTTGCGCTCGGGCGCTCATGTTCGTCCAGATGTTTAAAGAAATTTGATGGTTCTGGTTTTGGGTAAGCTACAGGCTGATCCGTTCTCATTAGTCAATGTTTTCCGGTTTGGGACATATCGGCATTTTGTACTTCAATTGTCCTTGGTCTGGCTTCCGCCCACAATCAGGCCTGGCGCCCGAGATCCCCGAGGATCCGTACCATCTGATCAAGAAGGCGCTGGCGGTTTGTAAGGTTTCCCCCCCTTCCCCCCTTCCCCCCCTTCCCTCCCCCCCCACGAATAGGCTTGGCGCCCGAGATCCCCGAGGATCTGTACCATCTGATCAAGAAGGCGCTGGCGGTGCGCAAGCACTTGGAGCGCAACCGCAAGGACAAGGACTCAAAGTTCCGCCTCATTCTCATCGAGAGCCGCGTGCACCGCCTCGCGCGCTACTACAAGTGGACCAAGAAGCTGCCGCCCAACTGGAAGTAGTGAGTGCATTAGGACCCCCTTCCCCTCCCCTCTCTCTTATCTTTCCCTCTCTTCGCTCCCCCTCCTCCCTCCTCCCCTCTCCTCGCTCTTGTTGCAATGTGTGTGTGCTGTGCACTACCACCAGTAATCTGCCATCAAGTGGGGAGCCTTTGAGGGCTTTGAATGCACCTTGAATCCTGCATGCACGACCTACCTGACTCATCTTCTCTCCCCTCATCCCTCCCCCTGTGTGTCTGCCTTGCAGCGAGTCCGGCACTGCCAGCACCCTCGTCGCCTAAGCTGGAAGCATGGATGCTGGTGTCTGTGCTTTTTGCGCTCTCGTTTTGGTCCGCCCATAGCTGGGTTGCACTGGGTATGGTGGAAGGTTTCCTGTGCTTAGTGCTTCTGAAAGAACATTGTAGTCTTTCCAAGTGAATCCTAGAGAGGCAAAGAAGCAACTACACAAAATTGTCTGGTATCTATAGCTTTCTGGTGTTCACCTTGTAAGCAGTGAAGTTGACATGTGGTAGTGGCTTTCATTTGATGATGATTTTTCAAGGTATGTTTGTGATCCCAATTTGCAGTTTTTATTTAACACGGGAAGGAAATCAAACTTTATGGAAACAGTTACAGCGCAGGAACATAACATTATTCAATGTGTTTAAGTGATAAACTACACTTTCACAACCCAACCTCAACTCCGGATTCCAGCCTAACGAGAACTGGGCGGAGAGACAAGAGCTGCGACATCCTCATCCCAATCTGACGAGTACTCGGGTTCAGGCTCGGCGACGAATGCTGGCTCGGCTGGCAGCAGCGCCTGCTGCGAAACGATCGACAGCATCTTCATCTCCTCGTCGTCGCCCACCACCAGCTCGCGAATGCCCTCGTGCAGCGACACCAACTCCTGCTCGGTACCATGGCGAGAGAGAGAAGAAACAACAAACTGGATTGAGACGTGTGAAGGGAAAAACCAGCGCAGACGACAGTGGCGAGCATGGATGGGAAGGGAAGGGGAAACAAGGATAGGGGGAGGAGGGGAAACGAAAGTGCGCCTGGGAAATGTTTCGTACCGCGGCATTGTTGCGTGCGGATTGCGCGATGACATCGAGGGCGAGAATGGGGAACGGATTCTCGATGATCACGCCGACCTCCTCTATGCAGAAGAAGACGCCCGCGCACATGGCGGTGACGGGGATCGTGAGCCAGCCGAGGGGGTCCCAGAGCGCGAGAGGGAGGAACATGTGATAGAGCACGAGGAATCTCGAGGTGAGGCGCGTGTAGGAGAGTGGGATGGGCGTTTTGAACAGCCTCTCGCTGCCTCCCACGTCATCGGCGAACGTGGCGAAGTTGGCCTCCTGAAAGAGCAGAGATCGAGGAAAAGACATTCGGCAATGTAAAAAAAAATACTGGAAATTGATTAACCTAGTAAGTACGATAAATGTGATAATTCACAAAACAGAGCGTGTATCGAAACGTACCATAGCGAGGCGGTGCGCGGGTTCCATGGTGCAGGAGCGCATGCACTCGGACATCATCTGCAGCACGTAGTTGGGGCGATGCGTCGCGCCCAGCACGCCATTGATCTCCGCGTCGCTCAGCGTCGTGAATTGCTGCGGGAGGATAATTGCAAATGGGGGAGAAAAAGAACGCGCCGCGAATGAGGGGGAATGGGCGAAAATTCTCCAAGGGGTTGGCAGGTTCCTAATGGCCACGATTGACCCGTGATCACCATTCGTGTTCCACGCAACAAACCCGACATTTGGTGGTGCCTTGTACCAATCGTTTTGACGAGTTCAGCAAATTTTAATATATTAGATGTGCCTAATGTGAAAAAATGGAAAAAAAAAAAAACACTTACACGGAGATCTTCCTCGAGGGAGCCCTCCTGCAGGAAGTGGTGCTTGTACGCGAGCGGGAACGCCTGCAGGTGCCGAATGAACTGCGCGCGCTTCGGGTACTCGTACGTGTGGTCGTCGCGCGCCATGTACGACAGCGCCTGTCGCGTGATGTCGCGCGTGCGATTCAGCATGAGCCCCCACATCTTGCGCGCCTCGTCGAAGCGCCCGTAGCTGGAGTTGGTCCGGAAAACCAGGAGGAAGGAGAGCGCAGGCGCCGTGAGGGTGAAAGGGAGGTTGGAGATGTGGAGAATATGAGCCCATTCGGGGAGCGCGCCCATGCCTGCGAGCTCGTTCCACCCGCAAATTGCGGTTGCGATTCCGGTCATGACGCCGACGGGCAGGCCGAGCGCGCCGATGACCTTCGAGGTGAGGATGGTTTTGATGTGGCGGAAGTAGCGGCCGCTCGACTTGTGCTTCTGCGCAATGTCGCACGGAAAGGGGGAAAGTGGAAAGGGGGCAACGCGGGGGAGTGGGGGAAGTGAGTGGAGCGGAGAGGAGAAAGTGGGGGAAGCATATGCGAGGGGGTACTTTGCCGGGTACGCCGAGCCTGGCAAACAGACGGCTTAGAACCAGACTTTGAACGCGGACAAACTAACAGCTTTTGAGCAACTTTGAAACCGGATCGCGCAAACCGCGCCACGGACCTTCCACTCGTCGTGGCCGAAGACAACGCGGCGCCGAACCAGCGAGTCGAACTTGACGGCGTCGATGGAGCTGACATCCACCAACGCCTTCACCACCAGCGGCTTCCGCCCCTTGCGCTCCGCCGCCTGCGCGCGCCTCGCGGCGTGCGGCTGCGCGCGCGGGACCTTCCGCAGAGATACGCGGCGGAGGGAGCCATCTTCCCACTGCTGCGGACCCGCGGCGCGCGAGTTGGCGCGGGTGAGCAGCTTGGTGCCTCGCGAGGCAAAGCTTACAGTCGCCATGTGCGCGACTTACGACAAAGCCCTCTGCTTTGGTGTGTGGGGTGACTGCCTGAGTAAAACCAAGTTACGGAGGCTAGTTCTACAAAATAGTCCGCTTTTGCACGATTTGTACACTCACACTCTCGAAATTTGGGAGGCGTTTGGAGTTGGAGGAGTGCAGTTGACACCCAAGCCAACTGTGAACTTCAGAGAGACGGGCCAGATGCGTTCGGGACGAATACCGCCGTGCGGGAGTCCAGGATGCGATGAATTTTACTTACATTAGCGGTCAACGCGGAGGCCTGGGGAATTGGTGGTGGTGAGGGGGAACGAGCGACGGGTCGCACATTTCATCTCAGTGACGAACGGCCAGCGTGTTCATTTGCCACGTGGTAGACGGAGACAGGTGAATTCAGTATTCTTCCACTCGGATGACAGCTTTCCAGGACCAATCCATCCACGAGTGTAGAACATCCAGAAAATCATTATAGCGGAAAAACACGCATTACCGTATATGGACGTTTAAAACATGCATAACTGAATAGGTGAAAGGGCAATGCTAGGATGTGCACATTATAAGCAACACTGGTTTGTTAGGACATCACCATCATGCGCTATTAAGAATGTCTACCTACCAACAACGTCTAGTATTGAATTTGAAAGCCTCTCAGCTTACATTTGCAATTCCAGATTAAAAGAGTCAATGAGTCTCCTAGGGATACGCACCGGTCTTCCAGACCTAGTCACTGCCACAACTTCCCAATCCCATACATGAATGCCGCTCGCTCGCTCACAAGACCCTCTAATGCTGTTGTTGTCCTTCGCACCGTGCGCAGTTGCGATTTCCAGGCTGCATCCCTCCAAACCTGACTCATTCTTCCCAGTTACCTCCTCACACAACCAGCTCCCCTCTTCATCCACTCCACTCCCCTCCTCGCACTCACACACCATGTGTATACCATTCCCTGCTACTCCCCCTCTCTGCTGTATCCGCCGCTGTGCACGACCCTTCCTGGCCCAAACTGGAAATTCAACCAACCCATCATCACCCTTTTCGTCTGTCAGATCGGCAGCTGCTGCTGGCAACGACCCACTGCTGGTGCTACTGCTACTGCTACTTCTCGGTCTGTAGGCTCTTGCTTTCCTAGGCTGGCGCATAACACGGCCCTTTCTGGCCAGCGTCCGTGGTCGCCTCACACGGCCATTTATGTCCCACGCAGGGAAGCCGCGAATGCCGTCAGTATTGGTGTCAGTGCCCGTGTCAGTGCACGTGTCATGGGTGTGTCTTGCCCTGCGTTCTCCTTCCAGCCCATCCACCTCGTTCCCCCTCCCCACGCACTCCTCTATCGGATTATCTACTACCGAGGCGGATTCCGAGGACAACGTGGATGATGGTGGACTACCCTCGGAATAGAACGCGCCAGTTGCATTGTGCTGACTTGCTGCGTCGGCAGAGTTTCTTTCAGAAGATGTATTGGTTCCTGAAAGGGTGAATGGGAGGATGTCTGTTGGGAAGAAGAAATGTAACATAACGGCGGTGTTACTAATCCCTGATAAAGCGTGTGGAGAGAAACCTCGATGTCTCGAAAACGACGGTGCTGCTTATCAAGGAAACGTACCGATATCTCGAAAATCAGATTGACAGACTCGTGTCATTTTTCCCTCGCAAAGCTCTGCCGCCACAAATGGTTCCCCGCGCCTTCCGGCGGCATCTTCAAGGCTAGTGCGTGCAGAGGAAGCCTATTCTATTTCGAGAAGCTCTGGAAAGACGGTCTTGACATTGTCGAATATCTCGTCCGCTTCACCCTGCCCGAGTGAGGCGGCGTCACTGACGGCGTCGTCTTCGCAATTCCTGCAGCGTTGCGCCCCACGAACCGGCGTTCACGTCAGAACCAATTTGCATCAAAAAAAAAATCTGAGGCGACTTAAATAATATACTCTGCAGCTTTGCGCCCCACGGGCCGGGGTTGGCGTCAGAACCAATATGCATAAACACAAATGTGGGAACGTGCGAACTGTATTGAGAATGCTGATGAGTTAACTTGAAAAATCATTGGGTGCTGTGTGTCTGTGATACGGTAACAATCTTGCTATTGCAAGTTCGGAGGGGGATAGTACGCACCCATCGGCCAATGTAGCGGCGGAGTATCGTGCAGGATAAACCATGTAGCTTGCGTAACCAGCAGAAGGGCGACTGACGCTTAAATATTGGCGTTGAAGAATGCTTGAAATTGCCAGGTAGCGGAGGCGACTGTTTATCGAATATGGCGGTTGTAAGGCAAATATGGCGAGGCAAGCCCTCGTCCGGTCTCGTCGGGGCTGCAAGTGAGTGGGATGGAAGCTGGATGCAACAACCAAAGCGCTTTGAATGAGTTGGAGTGGGGGCCTGGCTGGTTTTGGGGGGAGATGCCCTGCTTGAGTGCGCTGAAGAAATGATGTCGGGGGGCCTTGGCTTGGATTTGAAATTTGAATTTGGCATTTGAGTTTCGGTGCGACTTGAATTCAAAATTCCCGAATCGCGGTTCCGCAAAAAGAATACATCGAAAGTAAATACAACGCAAAGAAAAAACGTTAATACGGTAATATTTGTGTGAACATGTTAGTGAAAACAAGCGACAAACACACTTTCAGACAAACTCGCAATAACACCCCATCCGCCAGCTCCGTCATTGTCTTAAACTGACTCAACCCCATCAGCATGATGTTATTATTGTGGTTCTTAACTTTTTTTTAATCGTATTTGCGGTGTATGGTGCAAGTGTAATAGAAAGTGCGAAACCAAATTTTAAAGCGAACCTTTTGCATTATATGCGCTTCCCTTTCCGTCCGTGTTGTGCGGATCACGAATTCACCGTTCACACGCTGACGACCATTATGCAAGGAGTGTCGAAGTGCTTGCATTCCTCCTCACTAATACCGGTACGTACGATGACATTTGTAAGAACCCGCCGGGATGGGCGCTCACGCCGCAGCTTGCGGCGGGTAGCAGAACTGCTTTCATTCGTCCTCGCTACGTAGAATGACAATTGTAAGCACCCGCCGGGTTGGGCACTCACGCCGCAACTTGCGGCGGGCAAGGACAAACTTGCTGCGAGGCGCGCTTCCTCAGCTCATTCTCCGCTCTCCCGCCCTATACATAAGACCCTCAGCTAGCCTGCTTATGAGCATCAGTTCCACATCGAAGGCCGCGGTTCGAATATCAGTATATGACCACTTTATGACTGTCCCACACTCATTGGCGAGTCATTAACACCACTCCACTCTGAGAGATTTTACATTCCTGAGTGGCACTCAACGGCACTTACGCATCATCTTCGCTGATTCGTTAGATTTCGCGACGATTTTCCCTGCCTCAGGCCAGCTTTTCGCGAAGTCACTAGCTGCATCCTTGAACGCTGCAATGGCGATTCGTGGCCTCTGCCTCGTCGCGCTTCTGTCCGTGTCCGTGCTCGCAGCGCTGACCCTTACCACCACGGCCGCCGCGCTTCGCGGCGGCACTCCGGAAGATGGACTCCCGACGTCGACCACGATTAGTACCACCGGAACCAGCACCAGCGCGGCTCGTACTAGAATCGTTGCCAGCAGGCGCTCCCTCGCCACCTCGCCCAAAGCGTCAGACAAGAAGAGTCTGAAGAAGAAATGTGCGGATTTGGCGGGGAATTGCTTGAAAATGGCCGCCAACATGCTGACTGGAAAGAACGTCGCAAAGATGGCGGTTAACCACGCGGTTCCGGGCAGCGCGACAGCGATCACCGCGATGGAGGGCCTCGCAGCCGCGCGGAAGGGGGACAAGGAAGCCGCCAAGGAGGCCGCGAAGAGTGTCGCTAAGGCCGTGGTCTCGACCGCAGCTGGCGCGGTGGCGGGACCGCACGGCACACTCGCGTTCAAGGCGGGGGCCGCCGCGGCGGAGCATGTGAAACCCATCGTGGACGAGAAGTTGGCGAAGCGCAAGGCGGAGAAAGAGGAGGAACGTAAGGCGAAAAAGCCGAAGCGCGAGTAGATGTACCAGTCACTGGTACACGTACCCGCTGGTACATGTACGGTAGGCGAGTGGGGGCTCCAGCCTCGAGGCGCTGAATCGGCAAAATAAAGGGAGGCGAGGCGCTGTTCACGTAGTCGCCATGGCGGCGCACAGAGGTTGCTGCTGATGTCGCAATGAAAAGCTCAGTGAGCCTTGTTGGGTAGTCCGCCTGTCGGAGCCTTGGGGGCATGGGGGGTTTCTGAGGGGGGGGGTTAGGGGGTGTGGGGGTTTGAAGGGTTTTGAGAGTTGTCTAGGCTAAGCCTGTCGAGAAGCAGGGAGGCGAAGGGTTGTGTGGTGTAGCATGACAGGGTTTGCGGTAAGCAAGGGAGATGGCTCGAACAGGGTAGCGGCTTTAGAAGGGCGTGGGATGAGGTGCTGAGAGGGATTTCGGAAGGCTTTGTGATATGTGACCCTAGGCTGGGGGAGTGGGATGATAGTACAGGAAGAGGGGGCATAGGCGGACTGGGTAGGGTGGGATAGATGTAGAGGAGAATGGGGGCTGGCATGTTTTGAGAATTGCATCAACTGATGTTTCTCCTGGAATATGATAAATGATGTCATGGCATGTCGTACAGCAATTTACACCGAAGCCAATATCACGCCTGACAACCTCGTCGCTAAGATCCTATTCTTTCAAAGAGAGAGAAAAACAGCCAACACGGAGCATGTCACATCAGCCCGATCCCAACCCTTAGCCAGTGGAGTCTAACTTCTAAGCAGTGCCTTATGATCTCAAGCTTATAATAATAATGTTAAACTACACCAGTTGCACCGGAATCTGTGCTTTGAGGTTCCGCTTGCAGTCGGACGAGGCGGGGTTTGAAGGGTTTTGAGAGTTGTCCTGGATAAGCCCGTTGAGAAGCAGGGAAGCGAAGGGTTGTGTGGTGTAGCATGACAGGGTTTGCGGTAAGCAAGGGAGATGGCTCGAACAGGGTAGCGGCTTTAGAAGGGCGTGGGATGAGGTACTGAGAGGGATTTCGGAAGGCCTAATGATATGTGACCCTAGGCTGGGGGAGTTGGATGATGGTACAGGAAGAGGGGGCATAGGCGGACTGGGTAGGGTGGGATAGATAGATGTAGAGGAGAATGGGGGCTGGCATGTTTTGAGAATTGCATCAACTGATGTTTCTCCTGGAATAAGATAAATGATGTCATGGCATGTCGTACAGCAATTTACACCGAAGCCAATATCACGCCTGAAAAGCTCGTCGCTAAGATCCTATTCTAACAAAGAGAGAAAAAGACAGCCAATCCGGAGCATGTCACATCAGCCCGATCCCAACCCTTAAAGCCAGCGGAGTCTGATATTAAACTTATAATAATGATGTTAAACTATATTCGAATCCTTTGCTACACCAGTTGCACCGGAACCTGTGCTTTGAGGTTCCTCTTGCAGTCGGACGAGGCGGAGCTTCCGAAGTAGAGCGTCTGGCCCTTATCGCCGTCCTTAACGGTGTACGAGTAAAAGCCGACGTACGACGTCGAGCTAAGGGTCCTCGCGAGCGTGAAGTCGCACACGGAGTAGCTCGCGCCGTCGCTGAACATTACCACGTTGTGAGGCATCACCCACCGGAAAACTGAAGGGTTTGACGGGGGACCATGGGAGAATTGCGGCGGGGTAAAGAGAAATCGTGGCTTCGGGGGGGGGGGGAAAGAAGTTACTCGCAGGAGGAAGAAAAGAACGTATATCGCGAAAAGTGACGGCACGGACATACTATTTCATGTCGGGAACTGTCGCGTGACTCTTAATCAATATCTCTCTACTAATACCAGAACCACTACAACTGCGACTGACCGAGCTGGTCGCCGGCGTAGACTTTGGGCGCCTTCCACTTGCTGACGCTGAACGTCCACGGGCTGAACACCTGCCCGAACAACGACCCGTAACCCTTCCTACACACTCCTCTATCGGATTATCTACTACCGAGGCAGATTTCGAGGACAACGTGGATGATGATGGACTATCCCCGGAATAGAACGCGTCAGCCGCATTGTGCTGACTTGTTCCGTCGGCAGAGTCTCTTTCAGGAGTCGTATTGGTTCCTGAAAGGGTGAACGGGAAGATGGCTGTTGGGTAGAAGAAAGGAACATAGCGGCGGTGTTATAAAACGCTGATAAAGTGTGTGGAGAACAAAAAAAACAATAAAACGACTGTGCTGCTGATCAAGAAAACCTACCGATATCTCGAATATTAGATTGACCGATTCGTGCCATTTTCTCCTCGCAAATCTCTGTCGCCACAGATGGTTCAACGCGCCTTCCGGCGGCAACCTCAAGGTTAGTGCGTGCTGAGGAAGCCTCTTCTATTTCGAGAAGTTCTGGAAAGACGGCCTTGACATTGTCGAATATCTCGTCCGCTTCACACTGCCTGAGTGAGGCGGTGTCACTGACGGTGTCGTCTTCGTATTTCCTGCAGCGTTGAGTCCCACGAACCGGCATTGACGTTAGAACCAACATTTGTCAGATTTTTTTCTTTTAGTCGACTCTGCAGCGTTACGTCCCAAGAACCGCGGTTGGGATCCGAACCCAAAATGCATCAGAGACATTGGGGACGTGCGAACTGTCGGGAGAATGATCATGAGTTCGTTTGAAACAGGCTACGGTGTGTCTGTGATACGGTAACAATATCTTGCTCGCAAGTTGAGGGGAGAAGGGGGGGGGGTTACGCACCCATTGACCAATGTCGCGGCGGAGTATCGTGCAGGATAAACCATCTGGCTTGTGTAACCGACAGAAGGGCGACTGACGCTTAAGAATTGGTGTTGAAGAACTACCTTGCTGGAAAAAGCCAGGTTGGGGGGGCGAGTTTCTCGAGTATGGCGGTTGTAAGGCAAATATGGCGAGGCAAGCCCTCGTGTGGGTGCGTCAGGGCTCCGAGTGAGTGGGATGGGGGTTCGACAGAACACCCAAGTGCTTTGAATGAGTTTGGGTGGGGGAGCTCAGGAGCTGGTTGATTTGGGGAGCTGATGCCCGGCTTGGGTGGGTGTCGGGGTTGGGGGGGGGGGCTATGCTTGGATTCGAATTTTGAATTTGGCGTTAGTTTCGGTGCGACTCGAATTCAACCGAATCGCAGTTCCACAAAAGGCTACACCTGATGTCACTATCGCGAATGTTAATGACCATAAGCCAAAGAAATTTGTCATAATTAGTGAAACCAAGCAACAACAAGGTTGCTTAAGCAAAGACAAAATACACGCACTATCAGGCAGGAAAAAACTAAAAAATACACCCCCATTTGCCAGCTCCGTCATTTTGTTGAACTCACTCAACCATATCAAAATTGTTTGTTTGTTCTTCACCTTAATTGAAACATATTTGAGGTGTATGGATGGAATTGTTATAGAAAGTGCTATGTCAAATTTCAAAGCGAACCTTTTGCATTATTTGCGCTTCCCTTTCCGCCCGCGTTGTGCGGATCACGGATGCAGTATTCACATGCCAAAGCTGTTAGAGTAAGGATCTTGGATAGAGTAGGAAGTGCCTTAGTAGAGTTGGTAGCGGAAGTCTTGTGAGAACTTAGATCATAGTGAATGTAAATGACCAAGTTGATTAAAAGATAGAATACAGGGAATATAAATAGTACTAACTAGCCATGTACTCTAAGGGGTACATTCCCTTATTATAACTGTTTTTACAGGCATTTCTACAGTGACTCCAACTGTTGCACTACTTTTCTTGTTACCGAGTCGTTGCAGGTAACCTGTACGGTTACGCCTGTTGCCATTCCTCGATGGTAGGTCAAGCGTCGGTCCAGATGGTCAACAGTCGCGACAGTTGACTCTTGCGACTGTTGACCTTCCTGCCCTTGATACGGGCTGATCCGATACTGCGGTTGTTGCTGCTTCGACAGAATCTGGTGCGATACTACTGCACCTACGGGAATGCTAAGTATAATTCCCTTCACACTCCAACACTCCCCTTCATTCCTGGAGGTGCGCCACGTGGCTCTTGCGAGTGACTCCGCAAAGGTCCGAGCAGTACTGAAACTTCTGACGTGGCAGTTTCTTCGTGAGGAAATCAGCTGCCATTTCGCCAGTTGGACAGTAGGTGAGCTGGACCTTTCCCTTGTCGATTTCGTCGCGCTCTGGTTGTCGCAGAGTAACTTAAAGGACCCGCCCATCGCCGTCTTCGTTTCCTGCAGGAGTTCCGTGAGATAGAGTCCTTCGCGAACTGCTGCGCTTGCTGCGATGAATTATGCTTCTGCTGACGAGAGGGCGATGAGTTCCTGTTTGTTGGAATTCCAGGAGATGGTTCCTGCAGGCTCAAGTTTAAAAATGAAGCCTGTGCGGGACCTCCTGTTGTCTGCGTCCCCAGCGTGGTCAGCATCCACATAGCCGGTGAGTTGTAGTGGAGCCGTTAGGTTGGCCTTGTAGGTGAGGCCGACATCAGGCGTAGAAATGAAGTACTGTAAGGCGCGGCGCAGGTCCGCTAGGTTCTCCCCTTCAGGTCGGCGCAGGTACTGGGCGAGCTGGCTGGCGATGTAGGATAAGTCCGGGCGACATGTGACGGCGGCGAACAGTAAGCATCCGAGCTGTTGCTGGTAGAGGCGATGATCGGCCGGGGAGAGCGGAGTAGTGTCGGGCTCGTGATGAGGAGGGGGAATGCGGAACGGGGTGGTGACGCCGACAGGAGCTATTCCAAACTTCTTAGCGAGGGTCTCGGCGTATTTCGCGGCGGAGAGGTGAATCGTATCCGCGGTCTGAGTGACGTTGAGGCCAAGGAATTGGGTGACCTCATGGTCGATGGTGACCTCTAGCTTCTCTTGGATTGCACGTTCGAAGTGATCAAGCAGGTCGTTGTCGTCGCCGGTGTAGAGAAGATCGTCGACGTAGGCGACGAGCAGGATGAAGTGGCCGCGGGATTCGAGGCGGTACATCCCTTGATCGTGGGGAAGCTGCTGGAAGCCGAGTTCGATGAGCACGCCATGAAGATGCCGCTGCCACAGGCGTGGTGCCTGCTTGATGCCGTACTAGGATTTTTGCAGGAGGCAGACTGCGTCGCCGTCTTCTTCGAACGCATGTGGCTGCTCGACGTAGATGATAGCATCGACGATCGCGTAGAGGAACGCGTTGGAGACATCGATCTTGCGGAGCGGGCGCTGTTTCACAGCGGCGATGCAGAGAAGGATGCGCACCGAGGTATGACAACCGACGGGTGCGAACGTTTGGTTGTAGTCCACGAATTGTGTCTGCTCGAATCCGCGAACCACCCAGCGTGCTTTGATTTTTTCGACCGTTCCGTCCGCGAGGGTCTTGATTCTGAAGACCCATTTTCCTGTGAGAATTTTCCTCCCCTTTGCGTGGCGGCATGGTACCAGCTTCCAGGTACCGCGGGGTTGCAGTGCAGCGACTTCTGCGGCCATGGCCGCTCTCCACTTCTCAGCATCGGGCCCGTTGAGAGCCTGGCGAACGGTGGTGGGCTCGACCAGCTGCTGGTTACCCCGAACGGCGACGGCGA